GGGTGCAGGGCAGAGGTGTTCCTGAGGTCTGGAAGTATATAATTGATTTCACTGTAGGGTAGCTTACGTTAGTTTTCCGTGTTTGCTTAGTTTTAATTGTGACAATTAATTTTCTATGAGTATTTCTCAGAACAGGCGATTTGTGCAAATAAGTAGAATTAGTCACTTTAAGGTAGCTATACAAGACACATGCTTTTTGTATTTAATTGCATTGTTTGGATGTCCTCTTGGCGAACTGCTTTTCTACCATTGAGATTAATGGTTAAATTTTCACAAAGGTTTTATGAGAAATTTACCTGTTTATGTGTTCTTCTGCAGACTCTAAACTGTTACCCTACTACAGGTGTGTGTGTAACACTAGTTTGAAAGCACAAAGGGGAAAGTGCGTTATGTGTATATCGGGCCGAAGTGGTGCAGGAAAACAGACTAAGTAGTATGGAATGAATTGTATAAAGGTTATAGTAAATGTCCCATTAAATACTTGACTTTCCTTTAAATTTGGCAATGACCAATGTTAAATTTTATGTGCAAAACTCAGCTGGGAGAGATGGATGAGACTGACTGGGATTGAGAGCAGCCCTGAAGAGAAGGACTTGGGGGTACCAGTGGATGAAAAGCTGGACATGAGCCAACAATGTGTGCTTGTAGCCCAGAAAGCCAACCGTATCCTGGGCTGCATCAAACGAAGCGTGGCCAGCAGGTCGAGGGAGGTGATTCTGCCCCTCTGCTCTGCTCTGGTGAGACCTCACCTGCAGTACTGCGTCCAGCTCTGGGGCCCTCAGCACAAGAAGGACATGGACCTGTTGGAGCGGGTCCAGAGGAGGGCCACAAAAATGATCCGAGGGCTGGAGCACCTCCAAGGAGAGGCTGAGAGAGTTGGGGTTGTTCAGCCTGGAGAAGAGAAGGCGGCGGGGAGACCTTATTGCGGCCTTTCAGTACTTAAAGGGAGCCTATAGGAAAGATGGGGAGAATCTTTTTAGCAAGGCCTGTTGCGACAGGACAAGGAATAATGATTTTAAACTGAAGGAGGTTAGATTTAGACTGGATATAAGGAAGAAATTTTTTACAATGAGGTTGGTGAAGCACTGGAACAGGTTGCCTGGAGAGGTATTGGAGGCCCCATCCCTAGAAACATTCAAGGTCAGGTTGGCTGGGTCTCTGGGCAACCTGATCTGGTTAAAGCTGTCCCTGCTCACTGCAGGGGGGTTGGGCTAGATGGCCTCTAAAGGTCCCTTCCAACCCAAAGCACTCTAGGATTCTATGACCTTTTTTGGGTTTGTTCCCCCCCTGCCCTTTTAGGTTTTTTTAAAGTGTGCTCACTTCTGGGTTCAAATGCATCAACAGACAATAGTTCATTTCATATTACCATGAAGCAGCACAAGGTATTTAAGTATACTCATGAATTCAGTAGATTTTATAGTTATTTATTATCATAGCTTTACAAAACATCTTGACTATGTAGTGTTTTGGTTTCTAGATGATCATTACTTGTGAGAAATGCTAATGTGTTGAGTTCACACTCACAATAGATGTCTTTTTTTGTCATGAAGTGCCTTGAATCTTGTGTATGTGTGTATATAAATCTATTTATATGGAAAACCATGCTGTGTTTTTACAGGTTATGAGAAGACAGATGATGTTTCAGAGAAAACTTCTCTAGCTGATCAAGAGGAACTGAGAACTATATTCATCAATCAACCCCAGCTAACCAAATTCTGCAATAATCATGTCAGGTATTAACTAGTGGGTTTTTTTAATACACATTTAATTTCAGAACATGCATATTGCATAGCAAAAATGAAGAAAAGATTCTGTTTATTCTATTTCTGCCATTTCCTCTGACCACTAGTTACAGTCTCAGACTCTGGAAGGGGGAATGAAGTGAAATGAGGAGAGCAGCAGAGCTGTTTCAATTACAAAGCTGACCTTCCAAATTTTTAAGAACAGGGTAGGGAAGGTACAGATGCTTTACAGCTGCACCATCAGCATGTCCCTAGAGTATGCATTCATTCTTCAGCTTTCAGTTCAGTTGAAGTTCGGTTCATCTTTGAATGTATTTCTGGTAGCTAGATGCCAGTGCATGTACTTCACTCGAGTGTGCATTGTTTCTGCTTTGGAAGCTCTTGTCTCTTTCAGTGAGCCAGCTACAAAGATGCTGTGGTTGCTTATGAAACTAGTTTTGAATTTCAAGTTCAGGCTTTAGGACTCTGCTGATGGTTTATGTTGTTTTCTGTTTGTTTCTGTTGAATTTTAAGTAATACACTGAATACTCATAAGTAATGTATGTTTAGATCTGATAACATCCTCAGTTCTGTTAAAATTCAAAGTAAATGAATGGCAAAAATATCCCTGTCCCAAGTAGTTATGTTTGCTGAAGGTACCTTTGATAATATGGAGGAATTTTACAGACATTGAGAATAATGTCGTGAGGTTTTTCCATGGATTTGAGAAACTTTATAATGCTTTTTGTTTGTGTACACAACTTGTCTTTTCTGTCTTCTGCTTTGTTTCTTGACAGTGTTGAGCTTTTTTGCGGGATGCATTCATTCCCCCTCTAAATTGACTTTTACGCAAAGTCAAAGTAAATATTACTAACTTGAAAAGGGGTTAAAATATTCTTCCAAGTCTTTTGCTTGTAAGTTTTTGGCATGATTATTTCCACTGTTACTGTTTTAGGACCTTAGATGGTAGCAGTCTTTCTTAAACAAATGTAAGAGGCTGACGAAGAGCTGGGAGCTCAAACGTTTTGTGGTGATGGCTTAGCAGAGATTACTATGCTGGGATAAGATGTATTCTGTTCTTCCAGCCTAGCAAAACTACACTTAATATCCAATATTTATCAGTTTAAAATAAAAAAAGTGAACTTGCCATTCAGTGAAGTGTATAGGGTTTTATCTTTTAATAGATTTTTATTATTTCAATTATTTCTTAAATGTACCATTTCAATTCAGTTGATCGTGTTGTTAGGTTTTTTTGCACTGAATCATGCCCTCATACCCAGCACAGAAGCTCCACAGCTCCTGAGTCCTGATTTAGCACCCTCCTTGTTATGCCTGTTATACCTCTTTCCCCAAGAATTTTGCCTGACCTGGAGCCATTGTGCAGATTTACCTGCCCAGCGTATGCCATGGCTTGCGGGGTAGGGTACTCCTCTGGGCCCAAGAGCTGCAGGTCCGAGGCCGGCCCTACCTGCTCTCTCAACAGTGGTGCAACTGCCTGACCGCTACCTTCTCTTTATTTTTTTCCTCTCCTCATTGCCTGTAAGTGAGTGGCACCAGGGCTTGACTGCTTCCCACAGAGCAGGCAGAGGTGGCAAGGGAACTTCTTGCCTGAACATGGAAGCTCATGACAGTTTCTGTGGGTGGCGGGCACTTCCCTGGGTTAGCCAGTTCACGGACGCCTGCAGGACTGTCTCTGTAGAAGTCTTTCAGTTTCTCTTTTAGCCAAAACAGGCCTGTTTGCTAGCACAGAAATCACAAAAGGTTCTGTTTTATTTGAAAGGTTGTGTAACTGAGAGGGAAGGAATACATCTGAAGAATTTTTTGTACCGCAGTAATAGTGCGTGTTTTTTGTCTCTTTCTCTCAGCACTGCAAAGTACAACATAATAACGTTCCTGCCAAGGTTCCTTTATTCCCAGTTCAGAAGAGCTGCTAATGCATTTTTTCTTTTTATTGCATTACTTCAGGTAAGATCAACAATAAGATGCTACTGTTTGAAACTTGTTGAGAGTTCATTTATACCACAGTGTTTTGCAGAGATACTGAGGTTGGTGTACCATTCTCTCTGAGCTAGTTAGACTCTCAGAATAGCTGTGTTGTGTAGACGTACCTTTAATAAATGTTTGGTTTTGTGTTTTTTTTTACTCTGGAGATAACACAATACACACAAAGATTTTTCTGTAAAACAGGTTAAGTATAGCTGAAGTACTGTCAGCTGAAAAAGACTGTTGTGACAGGGAAATCCTGTTTAAAAATCTCTGGCATACACAGAAAAATGTTACCTGTAGTTGGCATTTCTCGTAATGGAGGGTATTGCCTAAAAACCTGAACTTTATGAACTTTAATCCTGTAGTCTGTTTTGAGGGGCAGGAACTGCAGCTGAAGAGAAGTGATTATTTATTCTTAGAGTGAAGCTGATAAGGATTGAAGTTGAGCCTAGATGAAGAAAAACAGCACTGGAGTCCACTGCTATAGCAGCTATTTCCCATATCCCAGCTGGTTAACTGTGCTAGTTCTGAAGAAAGCACACAGTCTTTTCTATACAACCACTGTAGCTTCATTGAGTATGTTTGTAAAGGGCTATCCCTGACCCAGCTTACTGAGAAGCAGATAATGTTTTGCAGATACGTCAGAATATTTGAATTTTCAGTAGTTCAAGTTGATAAAGCAGATTTGGTTTTTTGTATACTATTCTACGAATGCAATAGCTGATGATGAATAAAAATTGAACTGTGGGCAGGTGCAGTGATAATTACCATTGTCTAGTTCTGTATTCTTAATCATATTTGATAAAAACACATTTTCTGCATAATTTCTAGTGCATGTTCTAGAACGTGTGGATTTGTCTGTTGTGGAGATCGTGTTAGGAATTGACGTACCAAACAAAAACTACTAAAATAATGGCACATATACTACCATGTGTACTTTTTCCTCCCTTATTTCAGATGTTTCAGCAAGTGAAACTTGATTCCTCTGTACTTATTCAGGTTTCTTTGCTTCTACTGTAAGGGCTTGGAGCAGTTTCTTAGCATGCATCTGCACAGGTAGCTTACACTGTTTTCTGGGGGGGGGGGGCGGGGGAACAAAAACTACTAAAATAATGGCACATATACTACCATGTGTACTTTTTCCTCCCTTATTTCAGATGTTTCAGCAAGTGAAACTTGATTCCTCTGTACTTATTCAGGTTTCTTTGCTTCTACTGTAAGGGCTTGGAGCAGTTTCTTAGCATGCATCTGCACAGGTAGCTTACACTGTTTTCTGGGGGGGGGGGGCGGGGGAAAGCAGACACAGAATGTGGGGTTTCAGAAGCTGTTTGAGGCTTGGCATGGCATGACTGGGTGAGAAGCTGGCAGGTAGGTGTGTGGAATGTGTGTGAGGAAGTGGAATGTGAGGACTTATAAGCCCACCACCTCTTATCAGGCTAAGCCCACCACCTCTTATCAGGCTAACAGTGAGACCACAGTGGCAGGAGTAAGAAATATGGGGTAATGAAACCAGGGTATGGTCTGGTGGCCCTTTTGCTTTAGTATTTTGCCTGGAAAATAATGTGTAATTGGAATGAGAGAGTTTGGGCATACATGTAGGGAGGAATGAAAGGGTAGGAATAGCTGGAGAAGTGATAGATCCCTTTCCATGGTGGCCAACACATAAGCATTTGCCCAACAGTAACTTTTTCTGCCTGGTTTCCATTTAATTGCTTGAAAAATGTGGTCTAGGGTGACCTGGAAAATAGATCTATATTGGTCTTACTCCAAGAAACATAGCATACGTACATATAACATCCTGTTTTCTTTCAGAAGCACAATGTGGTGGTAGAAAAAATAAATTTATATAATTAATAAATAACGTTAGCTCTTTTTCAAAACATTTTATCATAAATTGAGGATGTCTTCTGACCACATTGAGCCACCACTTGCTAGTGTACTCTTTTCTTGCGAAGATCTCATTGTAGTTATATGGGCTGCATTGCTTATTATAAGTCTATTAAGGCAGCAATCCTCTCACCTATCATGTTGCCATTAAGAACTCTAGTCAATATGAAGATAGTTATGGATAACCATCCATGTATATCACATAAGTAGCTGCATCTTCTCAGCATTTACTTTACATACACATTCACTTGCACCATCTGTGCCCGTACCTGCGTAGCAAAAATGGGTTTCTTACAGTAGCCTAGCAGAAAGCAGCTATTTGAAATTTGTCGATTAATAACTAGTATGATACAAAATATCTCTTAGAGATTAAAACTGTAAGGAAGTAAAAATACTTTGGGCATGTGTCCACTCTAACAAAAATCTAAACTGAAAAAACTAGTTGTATTTTAATTTAATTTGAAACACAGAAGAGGAAGGTGAATATTCTGCAGACACTAAAACCTCTGAAAGTAACTTTACTGTGCTGTTTAAAATACAAATGTTGTTTTACTGTATCAGCTTCTTTTGAATTGAAGACAATAACCCTCTCTTGGAAATAATCAGCACCATGTCTAAGAAGTGAATCCAGTTGCCTTGTCTGTATTTGCACAGAAAGTACTGCTTCTTGTATTAAAAATATGTTTTCAACCAGCAATGCAAACAAATTTTTTCTCTCTTTTTAATAGCAAATACCAGATGTATCACCAACAGGCCGTTACACAACATTGGTCCCTCTCTTATTTATTTTAGCCGTAGCTGCAGTGAAGGAGATCATAGAGGATATTGTAAGTATTTAATAGCAATATTTTGTAAATACCTTTCAAATTTTTCATAGATTATTCAACAAAATTTTTGTAATATAATTCTGTGTTGAACTTGCTTTCTGGATGCTTTTGAAAACTTCTAAAGCTACTTAATTCAGAAGATGAAATGTTTAGAATATGGTGTTATGATTTGAAAGTCTGTTTACTATATGTACAAGTGACGATAACATGGTAAAACAGTGACTGTTGTGTTTATTATAGAGATTGTTTCTAGTCAAACAGTTCTCATTAATGAAGTACAAGCATATTTTAAAAATGTGAACTGGAATCAAAGACTCCACAGAACCCAGTCAAGTCCAGAATACTGCTAATTTTCTTAAACAAGGGCTCTGCTAAAAGAAGATTGGAAGCTACTGAATTCATCTCAGGTGGAATCTATTTTAAAAACCAAATAACCTTTAAATATTTGGTTAGAAAAATGTGGGTTTTTTCTTCCTGCAGGAGCAGAGTCCTTTACTCTCACTAATTATACTTGTGAGCTGGATTTAAGTTCAATCTGTGAATGAGATACTAGACTAACATTTTATAGAAAAATTGTGAGAACTTCTGGCTTTACTCACAATGAAGAAGGTAGTAAAAAAAAACCTTCCCAGGATCCTTCTTATTTTTACATCTTTATTTGAGGTACCTTTAAAAAAAACAGATAAGCCCTCAGGAACTCAGAGTTGAGGTGGCTGCATGGTCTCAAGCGTCTTCACTTGCCCTCCATACCTGAAACCAGATGGATTTTTGTTTCACGACCAAATAATTCCTGAACCTTTCTAAAAATTGTCTTTTAACTTGCTACTGGAATTACAACATGGCACTTTTAGTGTGTTTAGAATAGTAATCTATTTGGTTTAATACATTTTAGATGAATGAGTACAGGTCACTAATGTGCCATTTTTAAAGTTTTAAAAATGGATTCTCCCCAGTTGTCAAATCCAGGTCCGTGCATCTGATGTATCTCTCTCTTTCTAAAGTCACATGCATAAAATCCTTTGTTTCACTGTTGTGACTTTGCATGGTTTTGTAGACAGCAAGGGGAATAGGCCTTTTTTCCCATTGCTCCAGCCCAGTGCAATTTACTGTTAGTCTTTCATGTCTTGGTGCCAAGTGTGATCTGCTGATGCCTCATGGCCAGGAGCACACATGGAATGCTTCCTTGTTAGGCAGGTGCCCCCACCTACTCCAAGCTTTCCTTGGCTCTCTCAAGTCAGTGTTTGTGGTAGTTGTTTTGCTTTCTTCTTGCATTGAATGAAAAATTTGGAAGAGCTGGGATATTGTCATGACTTGGAAGTGTCCGTTCTGACTTCTATTTTGTGGGTAGGGGAAGGAACTCTGTTTCAGTTCATACAGAAGATGCTAGGGTTTTCTGAGCACCTTCCCGCCGGCTCTTCAGTGAAAGCATATGGTAGAACCAGTCTCTCTAATTTGCCTAACATAGTTGATTCTTTTAGTTGATGTATTTCATATCTAAGGAATTAGTCTTGATGATTTACCAAATCACTCTAGATGCCAAGAATTTCTTCATCTGCTCTTATTCTGTTTCAGTTCTGCAAATATGTTAGGTGGAGGACAAGAAGTTAGGGACATCATAATACAGCAGAATCCTTTGTCCACCAGAGGGGTAGTGTTCTTTTATTATATTATGGGCTCTTCTCTTGTTTTTTTTGGAAAGGGCTGCAGGTAGCGTAGTCTTTCCCTGCACGCAAATAGTAGGCTTCCTGGGAGCATCGCATTTATTGTGTTTGAGCAGAATTACAATGTATGTGCAGAAACATGATCAAGGGGAAGAGTGGTAAGCTGCAAAGAAGCTCTGAAATGGAGGGTGGCTGGTCACATGCTGCCTAACAGTCAACTCTATCTTGTCCTCAGTTACTTCTGTGAATGGATGGTAGGCAAGATCTATTGTCCCCTTGGGTTGGATGAAGCTCCTGGGCCAGAGAGTTGAGTGGTCCTGCAAGAGACAATGACGTTTCCAGTAAATGTTTTTGCTCTGTTTTGCATTTCTAGTATTTGCGGCCCAATAGTCAGCTTCTCCTTAAATGTCTTTGTTGCTTTCTCCTTACATAAACAAAATCCCTTTTAAAAAAGCCATAAAATCAAGCCATGTTCATTCAGATATTTTTAACCATTCTGCTGTTAATGCTTACAGACTTACACCATCTGTCAGTGTCTAGGCAAATATAAAACTGATGCTGCTGCTACTGTACAAAGTGTCCTTTTTAAAATTATCTCATCCATTCGCTTTTATGTCATTTGTTTCTACCATTTGCTCTTCGCAATTTGATGTGTACAGTTTGGCAAGGAGGGGAAGACAGGGAGCAGGTTTAGTGGTTTTTGCATATATCAGCTAAAACAATAAGGTTCTCATTACCAAGTACTACAGAGATACCTAAAGGCAATTCAAATACTATTTTTCTTTCTGTTAAGTTTACATTGTCTCAGCATGTGGTTAATTCCTGAAAAAAAATCCTGCTGTACTTAGTTGAAACTGAATGAGATGAAGGAGCTCATTGGGAGAATTTACGTGCTAATTTAAAGGCTTTATATATATGTGTGTGTGTGTGTATGTAGAGAGAGGATGGTAACTTCATGAATTTCTCACTTGCACAGCTGAGTTTCACAGACTATAGTCCAAATAAAACAATTTGCTTTGGTTTTGTAGTCAAAAAGGTATGAAATGTAATGTTGCCTCCTGGTTATGTCGTGCAGGAATATGTGGCTGACTGACAGCTGTACTTTTTTTCCTGGGAAAATATTTTTTGCACAGCAAAATATTCAGTGTATTTTCCCTTAACCTTTAATTTTCATTATGTCTTAGTTTCTTTACACAGTGAGATATCTTAAGTTCTCAATGAATGGTTATCTTCATCTAATATTAAAGCAAGATGTACTGGCTTTTGGATGGAAACCTTATATATCGATATCAATAAATATACTTATTAAAATAATATTTTAGCTCAAGAATCAAATGCTTCCTTTTTTGGAGTGAAATCCCAAGAAGGAGAAGATGTTAGCAGAAGACATTCATGAACAGCATGTGTTTTCCATATATGCCTCAGAAGTGCTAGCAAAATTTGTGACATTCAATGCTAGATTATCAGCTCTTTCCAATGATTTTCACCCATTGTAGCTCAGAAAGCTACTGACATTAAACTGCTGTTTTTCAAGCTGGAGGAGACTCTCCCTGCAGCCAAATAAACACCTCCTTTGGTCAAGTTATTATGTCTTCCCATTGATCAAATGTTATTATCTTTAAAATCAGACATCTTTTTGAAAGGAGAATCTGCTGATAATCTGTGAAAATCTAGTAAAAAGTAATACCTTAACTTAGCCTTTGCAATGTGGTAAGGTGGCCTTCTAAGAGGGGCTAGCTCAGAGTCATACCAGCGTTTTATTAGAAATAAATCTCTTAAGTACCTTGACTTATTTTTATTTCAGTTTACAAGATTGCTTCTGGTTTTCTTTGTGTTTCAAAGGCATGAATTCTGTAGCTCTATTCAAAAAGTGTACCTAAACCAGTTAATTCTATTTAAATTAATTTTCCAAATCATGTTCCTGCTCAGGAAGAACTGAGTTCATTACTCTTAAATACTGTATTTAAACTAGTAGTCTCCTAAGCTTTTTGTAGCTAAGATGAGTTTGATTATGTCTTGAAAATGCTGGTGGTTAGTAGCTGCATCAAAAGATTTCTGTCAAAAGGCTTCTCACAGCTGTATTAAAACTGGGGGACATCATGGCCTGTTTAAGGTGGAGGGTGGGGGGGTGTTGATTTTTTTTGTTTGCTTGTTTGTAACTGTTGCTGAAGTCTGCAAACACTTATATGAAGGTGAAGTCATATGTTTACACAGTCGTTGCGTGAGTTCAGATCTGTATGAGACACTCATATGAAGAATGGTTCCGTGATCTGTGCTCTGGCAGGATCATCTCCCAGTTCCAGGAAAGGGCAAAGTTATGGTACACAAATACACTGCTTCCTTATATAAGGAACTTATTTAGGTAGCAATTGCCCACATGAGAGGACATTTTTGTACAACGCAGTTAGCCTGGAACTGGATGTGACTTTCCTGATGATCATAACTATGCAAGTAATCCATGGTCCTGTTTAAAATGTTTTTAAAATCGGTTTATTTAATTGATTAGTGGGAGGGCGTAATACGTGTGGTTTTTATCTTAAGTGTGAAAGCTTTATCATTTCAACAGAAGTCTTTAACCACTGTGCATTTTTAATTTAGAAAAGGCATAAAGCTGATAATGCGGTGAACAAGAAACAAACTCAAGGTAGGAAATTTTTAAAAGTGTATTAATTGTGGTTTGGGGGATTGTTTTTTGAATGTTTTGCACATGGTAGTAATGTAATCTGAACTGCTGACAGGTAATTGAGTGGAAAGTTGCTTATGCAGATTACATGAAAATTTGGAATCTAAACAGTTGAAATAACAATTTGCAGTCACATTAGCCCCACAAAATGGAATATGTTCTAGATAAGTTTATGAGGTTCCTAAGAAACTTTTAACATTTACTCATTTAACACAGGTGATGCTGTAGCTGTTCAAAGATCATAATCACCACTATATTTAGTGGGCCTAGATTATAATGAAAAGTCTATGCATTTCTAAGTACACAAATCATAATTTTTTTTCAACCAGCAAATTTTGAATAATTTGATTTTGGAAAACTCTGCAATTGGAAGGAAAAGTCATGAAATGGAACTGTCTTTCTATGCTGCTTCAAAACTGTGGATAAAGGCGAATAGAGTTTTTTGGTTTGGTTTTGGTTTTTTAATATGAAAACAATGTAGTGGTTTGATTAGAGATAATGAGATATTTAGCCAGTGTACCCAAACCAAAACTTTGGAATGTGAATTTTTTTTTTTTTTAAGATTTTAATAAAGAAAAGATGACATATTAAACCAGAGGATTACTGTAGCTCAGAAAGTGAGGGAGATGTTAGGTAATATGTCCTAAACATGCTGGTCAGGTAGGAAGTCCTAGTTTAAGTTCCCGCTTTGCTGCTCTTCCGTTTTTCATGTTACCTGTTCTGAGGTAGGCCTCTCTTGGTAGAGCTGGTCCTGTTTTTATAAACAGGAGGAGTAATGAGTGTCATATGAATTTGATTGCAGAAAGTATGAAAAATACCACGGAGGAGAATCTTACATGGATTTTTTTTTTAAATAAATAACAAACATAACTTTAAGTTTTTTAGGGAGGGGTGTAGTCACTGACTAAAAATAATGAGAATTGTTTAGCACTGCCAATCACTGGAAATATCTCTCATTTAAAAACTTAAATTTTAAAGCCTACCTAAATGGTACATAAATCTTAAACTTTACTATAAAATTTGTGGGGGATGGAGAGGGAAGGTAACTTACGAAACTACTGAGCATGTAGCTCAACAGGAGGTATGGAGAGATTGGGACACAGAGACAAATCTATTGACTGAAAGCACTGGGAATAGGAATCTCCAGAGAACAGGCCTGGAGAAACAGATAACCTCTTACCTATACATAAAAAAACAAAAGAAAGCTTGACGTAGACATCCAAAATTCTTTCATCAAGCATTCATAGCTTTTGAGATTGCAAGCAACAGTTTTAGGTGGCAGTGAATCTTGAAGTACCTTTTCAATTTTGTTTTTTGTCCAGAGTGTACAAAGCTTTAAATTAATAAAAGACTTGTTTTACTGTCTTCACCGCCTCTTCTCCTTGGTTACCTCTCATTAGGCTCTTTGGTAAATGTTCCTATAATTCCTGAATGTTCCATGCATGCAAAAGAGCATCCTGGAAGTTGAAATTGTAATGAGAATACATAAAATATTGCTAGCACTGAGAAACAAGTTTCTTAAGCTAATGCAGGATTCACATAAGTACAACATCAATCCTAGTGTGCTGTCAAAGCAATATTTAAATGTATTGTCAAATATAGTCTATTGTCAATAATTAAAAAGTTAATCAGTATGGTACCCTTACTTTCTTTTCATGTAATCACCAGTTCTGTAACCCTGAAAAGTAGCAATGTGCGTAGTACATTACATAACCAGCTCCACCTTTGGTTGTCTTTTGAACATAGGAAATTGTTAATGAAATGATGTGTTGTCATGGTTTAACCCCAGCCGGCAACTAAGCACCACACAGCTGCTTGATCACTTCCTGCCAGTGGAACAGGGGAGAGAATCAGAAGGGTAAAAGTGAGAAAAGCTCGTGGGCTGAGATAAAGACAGTTTAATAGGTAAAGCAAAAGCTGCACACGCAAGCAAAGCAAAACAAAGAATTCATTCACTACTTCCCATGGGCAGGCAGGTGTTCAGCCGCCTCCAGGAAAGCAGGGCTCCATCATGCGTAATGGTTACTTGGGAAGACAAACGCCATCACTGCGAATGTGTACCCCTTCCTTCCTTCTTCCCCCAGCTTTATATGCTGAGCATGACATCATATGGTATGGAATATCCCTTTGGTCAGTTGGGGTCAGCTGTCCCAGCTGTGTTCCCTCCCAATTTCTTGTGCGCCCCCAGCCTACTCACTGGTGGGGTGGTGTGAGAAGCAGAAAAGGCCTTGACTCTGTGTAAGCACTGCTCAGCAATAAGGAAAACATCCCTTTATTATCAACACTGTTTCCAGCACAAATCCAAAACATAGCCCCAAACCAGCTACTGTGAAGAAGATTAACTACCACAGCCAAAATTGATACCCGTGTGCATGTATAGATTCTGTATATCGGTTTCCCTTCATCTGTCTATTCCTTAAAGATCATCTGTATCTCAGTTAGCCCTAAGTAACTTTCTAAATTTCCATAACTATTAAAAAAAACCCTTTTGCACAGGATTTTGATTTATTAGGCTGCATTAGGGATTATTTTTGCTACCTCAGGCTACATACATACACAGCAGGATACCATCAGACATTCTGACACAATGAAATGTGCATTTCTGCAGTGTGGTGAAGTAGACTTCTGTAGGACAGATGGAGCATGCTTTTGTTAGTTAGTTCTTAGAGACAGCTGAAAAATGGGAGATACAGATGTGAAAGCCAGGCTGCAGAAGACTTTATGGCACAAGTTCTCTAACCATTATATAAAAGGTGCATAGCAACACCCCTTCTTTGTTTGTTCTCGTAAGAAAATGGATTTAACTGAATGTCAGTGTGTGTTAATTGTGCTTAAAAGCTTATTGGATCAAGCTAGGGTTAGAGTACTCTTGAGATTTCAGGTGTCTCAGCATGCTTTCATGAGTCTGACTCATCCATTTGTGAGCTAATTTTAACCAGCTAAACCAGCAGGAAACAAATCCAGAAAGAAAGCTGACCCTTTCCTTTCATTTAGTGGGTTAAACTTGCTCATGAAAGGGTCCAACAAATACCAGAGGCAGCAAGCATTAAGCAGTGAGGGCACGCACATTTGCATGGGGCAAGGGCAGAACAGGACCTTCCCTTTGCAGTGGCAATGCTGTGTCAGGTCAGCTTGGCTGCATGTGAAACAGCCTTAGGCTGTATTTCAGCAGTGCAAGTGCTTCTGGAGCCAGCACTTCTTAAGAAGCCCCTGGCCACCTCTGGCAGCTTATTTACGATTCAGACCTGCAGAACTCCACTGGCAGTTGTTCTACTATAGCTATTTGTGAAACTTAGTCATCTGGATTGCTGCAAGGTATATTTTTAATCCTCATCAGTTCTTTCATCTGGTTTATACCATGACCCCACAAACAGCATTGCTGACACAAGGAGATGGAAGTAGGTAGTTGGTGGCACAATTATCAAATGTCTTGAGTTCCTTAGAACAGTATTACAACCAGTCCTCACTCTGGATCTGTAGTTTTCCCAGTGAAAGGAAATGGTTTGTCAAAATAGATTTTGTGTAATGATCAACTGATTGGTGAGACAGTCATTAAAATATCTTGCTTACTGTATGAAAGAGAGAGTGCTCCATTTACCACTGCCCTGAGCATGTCAGCACTAATAAATTTGGGGGAAGGAAGGGTAAGATAATTTATCTCTTCCTAAAGAATTATTAAGAAGGTTAAATAACAACTTGCAGAAATCATTGAGATATACAAGAAGAGGGGGCAGTCTGGACAGAACCTCAAGGAAGACTTAGGTGTGAAGGCCATATGTATTCCCACATTTTGATCCACTTTTCTGAAATCAACACATGCTTGCAGAAGAGTTGGGTCCTGATCGGGTACTTAGATAAGCATCCTGACAGTTTGAAAGCTGGGGGAGACAGTGAAAGAGAACAATGTCTTGGATCTCTCTGAGTGTTGATACATGGCAATACATTTTCATTTTCTTTTTGCACATCAGTCTTCAGTGGCTTTGTAACTGGTGCTAATAAAAATAAAAAAGTCACCTTTATTATTCTCTGAAAACACAATCTTGGCAATTAACTGGCAAACAAGGCATGGTTTTTGTATCACAGTAGCAATGCTTAAAACTAGAGTAGTGGAGCGTGCTTGCAATATAAATTGCTGCCGTCAGGGAAAATCTATGCTAAATCACATGGGTTGATTTGGGGGATTTCTGGTACATTTATGGAGGAGATGACTGCAATGATCCAAAAGTTCTCAGGTATGCCAATAACAGAACAGTTGAATCCTAAGAAGCCTGCTGGTGACTTTCTATGAATCTTTTTTGTATGAACCTCATCAATATTTGAACTGAGAAAAAATTCTTGAATTGACACACCACCACCCTGGTTTCATAACTTTTTTACTTTGGAACTTTTTATTCCAATTACTAATTTATTTTAGAAAATGCCACATTATCATACAATCTTTATCAGATTTAATTGATTCTCAAATCCTGTAAAATGTTTTGATTGACTTGTAATAAGATTCTATGGTACAAAACCTGTTGTACGGAATATGTGCTGTATAATTGAAATGCTTGACATGAATTTTTAAACAGGGCATGCTGTAAAATATTGTGAAAATGAACTTGTGTCCATGTGGCATTTCATAAGGAATTTAGCACATACCTGTATACTGCAGTTAGATTATACAACTGGAAAATTATCTTTCTTTTTTTATTTTTTTCAGTACTACGAAATGGCGCATGGGAGATTGTCCACTGGGAAAAGGTGTGTGTTTATGTTGGTGACTTTTAGAGCATAATGCAGATTTAATATTTGCTTTATTTCTCCAAATAATTGTCATTGATAAGAATTAACTGGTATGATGGGAAATGTGTGATCTTTTGTATTTTATTTTTTGTTTGTTAATACTTGTCTCTTAAAATGTACTTTTAAGTTAAGTCAGTTTTGATGGCATGAGTCAGGCAAAACTGCCGTTAAAAGGTGGGCTTGAAGTTCAGTGAAAAATAACTTGAATAATATGATTGACTTGGGAGTATTTGCATATGGCAAGGTTTGGCAGTTCCTTAGTATTATTTGGTGTGCCAAGGCAGAAACTTCTTTCAGAAAACTAGTTACTTTGTGTATTTGCTGAACTTCTCTGGTGTAAATCATGAGAACTTTAAAGGCTGTTATGCAGTGGTTAGGAAGGGACTGTTAAAGGTAACTTTCAAGGACTAAATGTTATGCTGTCTATCTAGTCCCTTAGTTTTACTGGTTTCCATACCTGAAAGCTTGAACAAAATTTGACCCACAGTAATTTGGAGGTGAGGTTCAGATGAAACTGGTTTATAACTTTGAAGAAGCGAGGATAAGGTATATAGCATGATGCAACAGAACTGTGATCTTAGGGGAGATTAATTTCTTCTTTAGCTTAACTTCAGTCTTCCCATAAAATATTTTACAATAACTAGCAAAAGTAAAGAGCTGCATAGAGAAGGTCAGGATTAGGCCTATTAAAGAACAGATTTCCAAAGAATTCCAGTGACCTTTGAGTACCTAATACCTACAGGCTTCTCTAAGTGTGTGAGTTTCTAACAGTCTTTCTAGAAAATTCAGCAGGTAAATATCTACTGTGCTTAAAACAAAGGGATAACATATTTTGTTTGAGACCATTAACCAATTCCCAGTTTTCTTTCAGGTAGATGTTGGAGATATAGTTATAATAAAAGGCAAAGAGTATATACCTGCTGACACTGTACTGCTCTCATCAAGGTAGAGATGCCCACTGATGCTTATAGTGTAGAGGCTGGTTTCTCTACCCTGCATTTATTTATTTATTTATTTGTGATTGCTCCAAGGAAATAAGGAATAAACAAAAATGCTGCTGTTCTGAAGTGTAGTCTTTTGTTCATTCAGGCATTTATCATTTCAGGCATTGTTTCTTTAAACTGTGACAATTACAGTTTTAAAATTACACTGGCATTCAATTTACCATGAAGAAAAACTTTGTTATTTTGTTGGATATAATACAAAAAAGACCAATTCTCTGTGTAAAAATTGGACCTCAAATGCCATATTTAACCATTTGGGCTTTTTGATACGAACCTAACAAATTGCATCCTACAAATAAATTAAAATGGATGTATTACAGGGAACAGAAATGTTTTTTAATGGATATAGTCGCCAGTTTGATAGTTGAATCAGGAAAAAAAAATGAACATGAGATGTGAACCATCAAATTAGCACTGTCTTTATGAGCTGAACATTCACTTTATTCTCTAATATATTATGGATAATTTCAGCACTGAAAGCAAGACTTAATTTATAGCATGTAATGCTGTGACTCTTTACATGGACAATCAGAGGTTGTTTATCATCATTTCCTTGGACAGTTTTATTTAAGAAATCCACATCTTATGTGGAAGATGCACATTTTTCAACATCTATTTGATCAGGTCAAAAGGCAACATATCAAGAATTTTTTTAAATTAAGATTGTTTAAATATGACAATTGTGTTTTGATTTATTACTGTATGTTTACAATGCAATTTCTGTATTTTTTTTCTGCCACAAGTGGAAGCATTATTGTAATGTGTATCATTATGGATTGCATATAAACCCTCTATGGTCCCACTGAAGTTCATGAATTCACTTATACATACAATTAATAAGATTAGGTTCTTATACATTTCTGTGACAGACTGTGGTGTAGACTAGTACACTGTTTATTCCATGTTCTATTACATCTCAAAATCAAATGTAGCTGTTCTTAAAACACTTCTATTAAATTCTTATCAAGTGTAAAGTAGTTGCCAAATAAATACTGTAAATCTTCACCACAGTCTGTCTTCAGTGCTACTGTTTGTCATAACTTCAGGTGTTTTTCTATTGAGTATCCTCTATAAACCTTTTACTTCTGCACTTCAAGAAGCATTTATAAATTTTATTGGGGCTTCTCCACCAAGATCTTCATAGGCAATACACCATGCAGCAAAACCAGTTGTTCTGTTGGCCTGATAAATAGCTTTTGTCATGCTAACCCGAGTGTTTTGCAAGCAAAACAGATTACATCCTCAGAGCAGCTTCTTTATAAGCTTCCTGTTTGCCTTCATTATTTTGCCCTTTTGGATTTGGAGGACACTTGTGACACAGTGTTCTCCAGTTGTAGTTTACACACAGAAAAATACCAGCTGCCTGCCAAGCCTTCTTTCCGAGCCTTGTGCCCCCTGAAGGAATCCTACATCACGTGCTGACAAATTGAAAAAATAGTCAGCTGCTACTGGACTTGTCAGCACTGTTACCTCTTTGTTTAACCTCATTTCACTGCACTTGTCAGAACACGCTGTCCCAGCTGTGACCATTACTCAACCTTGAATTTTCCTGTCAGGTTTTCTTCTAGGATCCAGTTTGCAAAGGGGGCTCCTTGAATCGTGATTGCTTTTCTGGGCCCAGTTCAGGCATTTCTTCCAGCTAAAACTTCCTTCTTAGTTATGTTACTAGGGTCCTGTTGCAACCTTCCTTCCAGGACAGAACCCTGTGCTACTACATTACCTCTAATTCTGCCTGCATACCGGCATGTACTCTCCACCTCTCATCTCCACGTGGCTATGCATTCTCCAGGAGGACAGCCTCGTCAGTTTTGCTTTCCAGATGTTTTTTGATGCCCAGTTACATTTTAGGTTTCAATATCAATGCGAGCCTACAGGCCTGGTTTAATACAAGCTAATAATATTTGGTTCTTTTTACCAGCAGTAGCAGTTTCTGGAGAATAAGAGGACCTTAATTCTTTTAGGAAACTATAATTTCTTACAGTGGAAGGACACAAACCTCTGAGATTTAATTGCATTTGGTTCTTGCTAGTTCAGTGTAAATCGAACTTTACAAAGCACAAAATCATTTTCATCATGTCTACATAGAAAGTTTCTTGTCACCTGACTTTCCAGAAAAGTTGGTGGAAAATCTTTTGTTGTGGCTTTTATTTTTTTATTTAATGTATGGAGTGGCTAGAAACTTTGTCAGTTGAGAAATATGCATAACAGCTTTTTATTTTTACCGTACAATACCAATGTGTTCTGCATCTTAAAATTGGTGCCTTACAGTAAAACAATCCACTCGAGTAAAAATATTCTACATCTTTTTGTTCTGACCTGATTAAAATAGATTTTGAAAAAACTGTCATCAGACATTTTGATTAACATGTATTGTTTGTATAATAATTTCAAATTCTGTCTTTTTGTCTTTGTCCATTTGTTTGGGTTTTGTTTTTTTCTTTCCCTGTCACTTATTTTTCTGTTCTAATCATTTTCAAACTGGGATGTGTAGGTGGCAGTAGGGGAAGTAGTGAAAGTGACCAATGGGGAACATCTCCCAGCTGATCTCATCAGTCTGTCGTCAAGGTTAGAATAAACTAGTTGCACAGGATATGTGTACGTGGGTCCTCATATACCAAATATGAAGAACACTGCCATCTTGATAATCTTTGCTTTGCTGTTCACTTTTCTTTGACAAAACCCACACATTTATAAAATTACGAAGGGTTCGGTTGATAAAAGTACGGATCATTAAAGTGTAAATATACAATAACACTCCAAGAAATTAAAATTTGTTCCAGTCCTCTTTGTTTTACACTATCCCTATGAAACTTTATCAGACAAGTTGTCGTTGAATAAACACACAGTAAAACACCAGGATAAACACATGTTTAATTCCTTAGAGCAAATTAAGAATATACATGTTTATACCAACCCACTATTTTCAGCAAAGAATATAGTTTAATGTTGGTAGGACTGGTAGAGGACCCTCTGCACAAACTTGGATGTTGCACAATCTCTGCTGCATGCAATGGCAAAAGCAGCGCTGTTCTTGCGTATTGTGACAAAATGCATGTTTCTTAGACACGTCAGCTTTATGCTATTGTCTGCACTGTTATTGCACTTTGTTTCTCCCTAACAAATCAATGGGCCTGCCTTGATCTAACTGTAACTTACTTACTTTGGAGGTCACTGCTGTCTGCTACAGTAATTGCAATTAAGCATGTGTCTCACTTGAAACGTTTTTGCTGCCCTAGTCTGTTTTAAAAGTTCTGCACAAAAATATTATTTGTTTTTTACAATGAACTAATAAAAATGCTAGAATTGTAATAATGTTTTATACAAATTACTCCATCCAAATGATCTAAACAAAAGTTATTTACATTTTTAGAAGAGTTTGCCAAGAAGAAAATGCTAGCCTGAAAGGAATTTTATGATAATTATTTATCACATTTTAATGCTTTTGCTTTACAAAAATGTTAGAATAACCTACAGACCTTTATCCTGCAAGCATTTTAAAATGAAGTTGCTTATCAGTAGCCACTGTTGCATTAAGAAAGAAAATTTTAAAAAAGACTTGATGCTTGAATTTCATGCTAGAAAGAAGGAAAATACTAGAAGTTTTAAACTGGTGTAGAGAGCAAACATTTATTCTTTTAAGTTGTAAGGGATTTTTATGACTCCTGGTTCTTTACAGGTTCAGAACTTTTTTTTATTGTAGATATAAGTAGTAGGTTCTGTCCTCGTGTCCAGAAAATGGGAGCTGAGTGGAGTAATTCAGAAATCCTGACCTGTTAGACCTGTTCTTGTTTACGATCTACTTGCAGAAAAAATAATTGTGTCCTTCTATATCTCTGTTTTCCTAGTTAACACGGCTGTAATGGTTGTAATATGTTTTAAAACCTAAAAGTATTTTACAAAATACTGCTGTGTTTTACAACTTTAATGCTAAACTACTGCTGCCTACAGTAGTAGTGTGTGTAAGTGCACTACATTTGTGCCTGTATCTTAATCTCATGTAAAAACATAGAAGACTTTACTGTGTACAGCATTTTTAGTAGTGTTTCATCTAAGAAGGTAGGTTTTGGCAGACTCATCTGAAAATGTAAAGTACTGTTGGTTTTACAGATTTGGCTGTAAATTATTCTAGGTCTGAAGAATTGATAAGAAAAAAGCACTGATTGCATAAATAGCTATTAAAAGATTACAGAAATTTCATGGGGTTTGACGTTATAATTTAAAATTAAGGATTTTTTTTTTTTCTTAATAGTGAACCGCAAGCTATGTGCTACATTGAAACATCTAATTTAGATGGTGAGACAAACTTAAAAATTCGACAGGTAGGAATTCCATTTTTGAGAATATTGCTAATATTCTTTTAGTCTATTACTGCTTATAAAAACATATTTTATGACATTAATGGCTGCTTTAGAAGACTGAAATTCTAATGGTTTGAATAAAAAGCTGCGGGTTATTGACATCATAAAAGTTTTTGTGCAATTAATTAAGCCTGAGGAACAAATGGTTACTCCTAAGCCATGCCTTGCACTTTATTTTACAGTTTTTCTTTGGGACAATAGGTGGAAAGATTTGTAGTTTGGAGACTGGTTTTGTTTTCAGAGGATAGATGAGGGAGAAGCCCTGCAGAAGAAAGCTGGTGGTGCCAGTATTGTCCTTGAGGGGCAGGTAGGGAACGCAGTTTTTGACTGAGTATGCTGTCTCTATGCAGGAACATTCTTGCTGAGTTATGGTTGGTTATGACCCTGTCTTCATCATGATGTTTTAAGATACCTAGGTGACTTTTTCTCTGTCTGTAGCATCCAGCAGCAGGACAGCAAAGTGTAGCAGTCGTATTTTGTTCCCATAGTGCAAAACCAGAAAACCAGTATCTCTGTCAGATTTATAATACACAGATTTATATATTGGAAAGTGATTTTTAATGTCATGACAAACTAATTCTGTTTACAGGGTTTGCCACTAACATCAGATATAAAGGACATAGAGAGCTTGATGAGACTTTCAGGCAGAATTGAATGTGAGAGTCCAAACCGACATCTCTATGACTTTGTTGGAAACATCAGACTGGATGGGCATGGGTATGTAAATCCAAGGAAGATCATCTCAGTAGATTCAATCTAACAGTAGATAGCTATATGTTGTTAAACTACACAAGTTAAAATATGAATATTAAACTTTATTCTGTTAAGACTAGATAGATAAAGATCTTTTCTGATGTATTCTTTATTAGACTTTATTCTTTAAAAAAACTTGAGGAGTAAAACCATACTTCTAATGTCTACAACTTGAGTTTTTATACTGGTTGACCTTCATAAAGCAATAGCTATTAATAGAAGGTAGTGCTAATCAAATTCTAATAGTTCTGGAATATGTACCTAGTAACTCACTTCTTAAGCATCTCATTCCTTGCCTGTGAAGTTCCTATTATAGAAGCTGAATAGAAGTGGTTTCTTGTCTGGTTTTTTTTTTTGTTGTTGTTGTTTTCTTTTTTTTGTCTAAGTCTGGAGTGGAACCGAGTCCATCACTAGATACCTCAAATTCTTCTAATTTGGTAGCTGAAAGGCATTTAAGACCTTAGCTTACTGAAAGTATGTTTTTGTAAAAAGAGACAGTCTCAGTGCAATTAAAACATAAGTGCTTGTAAAACTGCTTCAGAAATTCTTAAAAACACTTAAGTGCTTACCAAATAATGATATTTGGAGTTTTCTGTGGGTTTGAACTGAATGTTATGTATTAGGAGTATAAAATTCATTACTAGATCCAGAATTGTTGAGTCCTTCATTCCCAAAGATTTACAGGATTTCTTTTTTATTTGGTAGGCATTTATTTCTCCATATACAATATTATTCATGTTTATGGTTTTAGACTGATATATGTAGTACTAACTAATTATTAAATACCTTTTTTTTTTTTATATTCCATTTTTTATTTACTGATTTCTTACAGATGCATTCCAGGAGTTTTCAGTCGCAAGAGTGTGGATCTATTATAATTCCACTGTACTTGTTGTTAAGAAGAGAAAAACATTTACCTGTAATTCTTCTCTGAAGGTAATAGTTATAATAGATCCACACATTCATCCTTCCTCCCTGGCTAGAGGGAAAAACATACTTTTCTTTTTAATCTACTTATTTAATTTTAAAATTTGATTTAAAAAAGAAACATTGAATGTGCTGATGGCTGTTATGCCTCAAGAATGTGTAGGAGCTCGCCATCTGCTGGTCAAGCAATTTGTCATTTGAGAAATTCAGTTTTGAAATATTTTGAATATAGTTCCTGTGCAGTAGGATAGTTCCAAAAGTGTGGCTCTAATATAATATTTACCTTCAGTGAAAAAGAATTGCAGGTAAGTAACTCTTTTTTGGATCCTGACCTTATTTCCAACCTGAAAAATCAGGGATGAATTTTTGCCCATATTAGAGGTTGCACAGATTCACCTAACTGGTATTTATTTACCCAGATCTTTAAGACCTTCCCACCAGATCATGTAGATCCAGCAGTTGTGACTTCCACTTTATCCACTACCATCTTAATATTTTTGCAAAAGCAACAGAGGATACTGAAAATGTATCTCCCTCTTCTTTCTTCTTTCCCTTTAGGTAACTCACTGGAGTGCCATAAATGTTGTATCTGTTTGACCTTTTCAGTCTTTTCTTTTTCCCTTCATGGGAGAGCAACTCAAAAAACCAAAGGTGCTCTTTTTTTTTTGATACTCAGTATTCAAGGAGGTAGAACTCCACTGCAGTTATTTGGCCTTTTGGCAAAAGCTGACTTCCTCAGCTTTTGAGCAAGTTAACTCTTATCTCCGAAGTGTGCAGCTCTTTGTTACACTCATGAATATACAGAAGCATGTCACTTGGTTTCAGTCAATGAAGACAATTAGCTCAAGAAAGGAAAAAAGTTCTTTAACCTGGATAAATTTGAAATTATGATTAGACAGTGGCTCAGAGGAAAAGGGCGAGCAAGTTAAAAACAAGGGCAGATATTGGTTATCCAGAACTAAAGTAAATGTTTTCCTGAAGACATTCTTAAGAAAATTTTGGATAAGAATGAAGTATGCTTGTTAAGAAAAACATTTTGGTATGTAAGCTTTCAAATGTGCCTTAGAAATTACTAGCTCTTAATACACCCTTGAGAGCCATGGCAGGAAAGTATGCTGAAAGGGTATTTCCCCATTGAGAATATACCTTACTGAATACAACCCAGTTTTGTTGCTGAGGAGTTTTTAGTTACGTAGCGTAGAAGAATCAGATGAGTTTGAGCAGTTTTGAGAAGGCTGAGGCTGGGAAGTAGAGACTTGAGAGCTCTGTCAAGTCATCGCACCATCACCTCATTAGAGCATGGGGTAAGATCACAATGTTGAGGATCAGTAACCTGACACCAGGCAGATCTGGGCTTTCTATGCCCGTGGTTGTTTTGCTGTGTTTTCATCTCCTTTGTCTGTGCACCAGTTCTGCTGGAGACAACTCCCGCTGGCTGCAATCCCAATTCTCTTCTGATTGTCTTCGCAATAACAGACCCTTGAGAATAAATTCCTGTCCCAGGTTGGAGAATGGTATTCATTTGAGAGCCAGTGTCCTGATGGAAAAAAGAACCAATGGATCCTGCAATAGAAAAAACTTTACTGCATATTCTTTACAGTTTTTAAGAAGGGAAAACAAAGAGGAAGATCAGGAAGTGGCAGGAATAGTCTTAGAACTCACCTGACTCTTCAAGGAGTACAAAAATTAAGAGTGGAAGGTTTTGACTTCCGCCTTCCTAGACTCTCTTGTATTAGTAGAAGGGACAAGAAAGTCTTTTGGCATTCCAGAGAAGGTCCATAGCTGAAAAAGTTCCCACTTTATCTGTGGGGGAGTTGCATATAACCAGAGAAAGTTATTTTTCTTGCATCTTTTGTGACATTCATGTTAGTGTTAATACTGTTAATTAGAGAATACCTAATTATTCTTGGAATGACATGTAATCCATTCCTTAACTGAAGTGTCTGCATTATTGTGCTGATGGATGGTCCAAAAGTCTTGAATGATTCTGATCAAGGAATGCAAATAAATAAATGTAAGTGCAGAAGCAATCTTTGATGGCAACAGGAGTCTCTCTTAATGATTCTTGTGTAATTCAAACACAAGCAGTTCCTTTCATACTCAGAAGGACATTTAATCTCTTAATTTTGCCATGATATGAACACATCTCAAATTAAAAGAGCAGCACAGTTCAGATTTAGCAAACAAGTAAATCTCAGTATGTTCTATATTTCGGTTTTCTTTTCCAGTTCCTTCTTTTGATGAAGTGCCCGTGCCTGGAAATTATTTTCCATGGCAATATCATTCAGCATTTCAGTTGCTGAAACATAACTTAGTGGTGGGGAGAATGATTCCTTAAACAGTCAGTATGCTCTGTGCTAGTTTCGTAGAAAGTGGACTAAGCTGTAGTGGGGTGGTGTTTGTTAGTTGTTTGGTTTTTATGGAAAAGCACTCAAATATTTTTCCAGATTAAATGTTTTTTCTAGTTTTTGCAAGATCTGATTCCAAAAACCTGTCTGAATTTAAGACAGTTAAATGTTTCCAACGTCTTCTGAGGTTTTGTTGCTCATTTACTCACTACAGTTCTAAAACAACAATACAAGTAGACTTACCTGGTTTTGCAATTTAAAGAAGGTGCAGGAAATGTTGTGAATTTTAAATAGTTAATCACGTTCATAAAAGATATTTATTTCACTGGAAGAGTGGATTAAGTTGAGAGTTCAGAAAACTATTTAATTTGAAAATCACTTTGGACAATCAATTTTGTAAGAGTAGTTGAGTTTCCTCATATGCTTAGGAAAAAGCTTTGTAATCATAAATCACAGGAAAGTTATCCTTTGTTACTTTCAGTATGCTTGCTTAGTACTACCATACCTTTAGTGTCCGTAGTCAAAATTAAGTAGTAAGTAATATTTTTGCAAACTTAAATTTTTGGGCTTGCTTTTAACTGTCAAGTTTTCTCTCTGTCAACACTCCCAAGAAGTTAACTATGAAAATCAGGTTCCTAGCATGTTTAGAATAATAATCTAAATTTTGAGAAATTAGTTTTAACAACTGCTGGCTATGTTTATTCATTGACATTGACTGTTCTAATGCTAAAATATAAAACTCCTTCCTTGTAGTACTGTTCCATTGGGATCTGATCAGATTCTTCTACGAGGAGCTCAGTTGAGAAATACCCAGTGGGTTCATGGGATAGTTGTCTATACCGGACATGACACAAAACTTATGCAGGTTTGTCACTTGGATTTTCGCTAAATTATCTGTTTTGTTACCTTATTACACTGTTACACAGCACAGAAAATCCTTTCAGAAAACATGGCTAGATTCAATACAGTAGTTAAAATATCAGTAATAGAGCATCCTTCTTATGAAGTAAAACCAATAAAAATAAAGCAATTTCTTGTTACTATTAGTCACTTAGCCACAAAGTAGTTTTTCCACTAGTAAGTGTATTCATTGATTCTATTTTGTAACTTGTGTTTTGAAAACTATTTTATTAGCAAGTTGGATCGTTATAGTTTGCTTGTTCATCTTCTTTTATTTTTGACTGCTCCTAAAACTGTCCTCTTGTGGAGCTTTCTTTCAAGTACAAAGGTAAGCATTCTTGTCAGAAGACGAAGTGAAACTTTATTTGCAAAATGAGGAGGGAAGAGAACCATTCTCAGACTATGAAGTTACTTTTCCTAGTGCTGTTTGAAATGTCAAAATTGGGATGCATTTGCTGCGAAAAAAAGAACGGTTTTAGATTGGTCATGCATGGTGCTCTATTTATTGCTTTTCTGATACGTAAAACAGTTATTTGAAAAACTTTGGTTGTTTGTATTGGCAATCATCTTCCCTAGCACTGATAAGGTGTATACACATTCATTTTTAATGTTTACTGTTAGCTGTTGCTGTTACGAGTGTTCTGTGTGATTGGTTTAAACTACTGGTGACACAAATCTAAAGCTCTAATTCATGGATTTATAAGCTGCTTCTTTGTTTTTTTTTTTCCCTTTCAAGTGAAACAGTTATGCCATTTATGGTGATGAAGTGTTTGTGAGAATATTTGGAAAAGGATGCAGTAACCTGTAATTTGTAAAGCAAGGACTGTGTGTACCTCTTCTAATATTTAATAGCCACTGTTACTTTTTGTCTTCTGCAGAATTCAACAAGTCCACCTCTTAAAATGTCTAATGTGGAACGAATTACAAATATTCAGATTTTGATTCTGTTCTGCATCCTTATTGCCATGTCTTTGATCTGCTCTATTGGCTCAGCTGTATGGAATCGAAGGCATACTGGAAGAGACTGGTATCTTGATCTAAACTGTAAGATGTAAAATAATATATTAATTTTTAGTGTTCAGTTTGCTTTCATATTTGGAAAGGAGGATGATTGCCATCCTTTATACAGTGTGTTTTTTCTCAGTCTTTATTGGTTGTTGACTAAAGTCATTAGGCTAGATATATCACAGCACGTATAAAATTTACCCTACTGTGACATCTGAGCTCTTGCTAAATTCAGGAACGGGGAGCTTTATTGTTTGTCTCTACATCTTTCAGCCTCTACATCTCTGCAGCTCAGCAAGGTCTGTATCAGCATTCCACTGGCATAAACAGTCAACTTCCTAGACATCAGACTAAAGCCATTTTCAGCTATTACCGATGGATTACATTTAAAGCTGCAGTAACTTTTCTGAACTTTTAAACTCTCTGATCCCAGGAAATGATGCTATGGCTTTATAATTTTTACTATACAGGGATCTAACTAATTATTGGGTGCCAACATCAAATCTTAGCAGACTGCTCCTAAAGAAGGTAAAACAGGCACAAAAGCTCTCAGCTAACATATTATACTGGGCAGCTTACTCACAGTGGATGCAAGGCAATGTGGTATTATGTGGGCCTTCACAGCAGCTTGCGACATATTGACATAATTTGACCCTCAGTGGGGGAACTAGATTTAAAGGAAGTTTTCATAAATATACTTCATGGTCAATTATTCATGTTTTCAGAATTTCTGATGGTGGGCTAGAGCCTTCTTTACTTAGGCAGTAGAACCAGAACTGGGCTTTCTGTTCTTGAGGCAACAGTCTTGAATACAAAGCTGCTGAATGTAGTCATCAGAGTAGGGGTTATGGGGTGGTTTGGTGAGTTTTAAAAGAAAAATCTTCGAATTCTGATTTGAAGGCACTCTCCTAAAGTTTCTGTTGAACAGAACAGTTGGCTGCTTTTATGATGAACTTTTGTTTATTGAAAATCTTGCTTCTCTTCTTTTTGATGCCGAGGAAGAAACTTTTTTTAAAAAAGGAAGAGACCTAACTTTTGTATTTCCATCGTGAGGTGGAAAAAAGTAAAATCATTAATGGAATATTAACAATTTCCAGTAATATAAAAGAATGTGTCATGGTTTAGCCCCAGCCAGCAACTAAGCACCATGCAGCTGCTCGCTCACTCCCCCTACCCCGATGGGATGGGGGAGAGAATTGGAGGAGTAAGAGTGAGAAACACTCCTGGGTTGAGATAAGAACAGTTTAATAATTGAAATAAAGTAAAATAGTAATGATAATAGTAACAGTATAATAATGATAATAATAATAATATACAAAGCAAGTGATGCACAATGCAATTGCTCGCCACCTGCCGACCGATACCCAGACAGTTCTCAAGCAGCGATCGCTGCTCCCCGGCCAGCCCCCCCCAGTTTCTATACTGAGCATGACGTCATATGGTATGGAATAGCCCTGTGGTCAGTTTGGATCAACTGTCTTGGCTGTGCCCCCTCCCAGCTTCTTGTGCACCTGGCAGAGCATGGGAAGCTGCAAAGTCCTTGACTGGCATTAGCAGCACTTAGCAACAACTAAAACATCAGTGTTTTATCAACATTCTTCTCCTACTAAATCCAAAACACAGCACTGTGCCAGCTACTAGGAAGAAAATTAACTCTATCCCAGCTGCAACCAGTACAGGATGGCATTGGATGTGCTTCATCATTTGTTGTTTTTCATCTGATTATTCTTTTCAGTGCTTTTTTTTTTTTTTTTTTCCCCTTTATGGGAAATGTAAAAGTTTTCAGAATATGGTGGTTAGTTCAGAAGCTTTTGTTTTTATTCCTGAAAAAAGAAACATGAAACAGTGGGCATTGATATTTTGTGTGTTCTTCAAGTGATTATCCTTGTCAGTTTATTTTCTGATATATGCTCCATGATTAAATGAAATTGTGTTGGGTTTTGTAAAGTATGCCCTTTAATGCTGTGTTCAGCTCATAGTTGTTCTTGTACCAGGTACTTTTAATAAGTAAGAAGTAATTTATTCCACTTTCACTTCAGTTATTTAATTTTTATGTGGTAGTGAAACAGGTTCCCAGCAGTGCCCCATCTTTCTGAATACTGTTTGTATTTAGTTAGAACAGTCTGTTGCCTGTGGATAATAAAAAAAGTGGTAATGTTAACAATAAATACCTGAATATTGTTTTATTTACAGGTAGCAATAGGTATCAAACTTCATTTAATCTTGGTAGTCATTATTGAGAATATCAATGTCATGGTGAATGTTAGCTCTCTGGTCTTTTAGACTAGTACTTCCTTTGATGCTGGAATTGGTATTAATGAAAGTATCCAAAACCTGCTCTCTTGGATCTTAGAGTAACAACCAGATCCACGTTCCATAGGCAGCGGAAACCTGTCTTGAGGCTCTTTTTCTTTGAGAGATCTTTGAATACAGACAGGCAGGCTATATCTTTTACCCTTTTGCTGTGCTGGAGAGCAGGCTGCTATTTCCCATTCTCATCATCTCTGAGGTGCTACTACTAGAGTTATTCTAAAACTTTAAAAGGAAAAAGTAGTATAAAACTGCTTGTTATGTATGTTAATATTCACATTTCCAGTTCTTTTAGAACTTTCATTAAAATCTCTAGTTTTCATGTGGTGTGAATTTACCTTTTTCTTAGTATTTTGCTGAGTTGGGGAGGGAATAGGAAGGTGTGAGGGTGGATGGAGAAAAAATTCATTCTACTACACATTTCCCTCTTTAAAAATATAAAACTCTAATAGAATTTGGTTGCTATATATAGATATTCCCAGATTATGATCTTAAAATGTAGCAAAAGAGGGAATGGATGGTAAGTTTACTTTTCAGAAATTGGAAAATACAGCAAAGATCTCTAAATTTGAACTCCACTTTATGACAGAGATCCTTAACTCTTATGAAGGTCATATTTTTAGGCAATTGTTATTGTAATTAATTCTCAAGTTTCTTCTTAGATACAGAACATTTTAAAAATCAGCTATTAATGCAATACTCTGAAATCATTGTAGATACATACTTTTAAGTGTGGTCTTAAATGTTTTTTTATTTGCTTTGTTTTTTGGCAGATGGTGGAGCAAGCAACTTTGGATTGAATTTCTTGACTTTTATCATTCTCTTCAATAACCTTATTCCAATCAGTTTGTTGGTTACACTTGAAGTTGTTAAATTTATCCAGGCATATTTCATAAATTGGGTAAATATTAATTTTACAATATGCATTGACTTCTAAAATCAAGTGTTTTACAAGTAAGTGAAGTGATTGATTGCTTCTCTATGTATGCATTTTTTCAGACTTTTTCTTATTGCAAATACTTAAGTATGCTGTTTATTATTCCTGGAATCTGAGAAGGTAATAATAAATGGCTTTACTTAGTGCTTTTATACCTGCACCAAATTGCTTTTTGGAACATGTTTTTATGTGCTTTGTGCTTTCTCATTATTAATATTCAGGTATCAGTTTCATCCAGAATGATCAGAAAGAAAGTGTTTTGCAGTCCAGTGGAATTTTGTCCAGTTTCATTTCTTCTTTCTAAGCGTAGCCCATGTTTTGGTTTTTTTAGTATTTTGCTGATTTTACCACCACCGCCATAGTTTAATGGGGTTTTTTGTGCAAAGTCAGTGTCTGTTAGTATTACCTCTTACAAAATATATGAAGATCATTTGGGCATCCTTTAATTTTTTTTTCTTAATGAATTAATGGGGGAAAAGAAGAGTTTACTCCGTTTGGGGTAGTGGTGAGGTATTCTCCTTAAAGCCGTCCATGTAAGTGCTTTTAATAGCATGCCTTCATTTTTTCCATTTTTTCCAAATGTAAATTAATCGTACCATTCTGAACTCTTTAATCTGATTCCTTGGTCAAATGTCAGAAATAGATTTGTGCGTGTGAAGTATGATGTTATGTAGATACAGATAAAAGTGTATGTGGAGTAGCAGGTAAAGTGTATTCTTTATTTTAAAAGTTAAATCTTTTTGTGAGCAGTCAGCTGGTTTTGATTTCTTCATTTCTTTTGTGCTATAGAACAAATTGTTGACGAATAAGGGAATGCAATGAAATTCTTCCTTTATGTTCTGTATGCTAAAATAAATATTCAACAAAGGCTCACCCATTTCAAATGTGTAGATTGGCAACTGTTCATACAATAAATCGAAAGACTGTTTTAACTTCTGTTTCCCGCCCATTTCACATCATGAGAGATTAGTTGTCTTTAATTTATCTTAATGTGGGACTCAGGGCATTTACTACCTTAAACATTATCTTTGTGTGTGTGCATATCATATTGGTGTAGAGAAGTTGGTCATCTGCAGTCTGTTGCACTACATTGCCATACTTCACAATGTTTTAATCTTTTACTGTATTTAAAAATAAACTTTCTCTTTTTTTTTTAAGTAAAAAAAAAAAAACACCCACCACTTATAATGTACCCTACATTTATTGTGTACTTTATAATTTATCTTCACGTTTTTATCTCCAGGTATATTTATCTTGCTATTTAGAAATGACTGGTTGTGCATACAATATAAATTGTGAAGCCTGACTTCTCTCTAAGTGTTACAATGTAGTATTTCTGCTTGTTGCTAAATCTATTTTAGATGCATCAGTACAACATTTCAGTAATACAGATCACTGGAAATAACTGGAGTAAAATCTCACAGAATCATACAGATTTTTGTTTTAAAGAGGAAATCTAATTTCTTCTGAGGACTCTTGGAAGTGATCTGATTGTGTCTGTGGCTTCCCATGTGGAAATAATCATAAGTAGATAACCTTGTATTCATGTTCGGTCTGCTCTTCTACACTTACCTTTTGTATTTATGTACTAGATTTTTTTGTAATAAGTTATGGAAGACTAATTTTTAAATATATGTACTTTTTTTTTTTATCTGCAGGACATAGACATGCACTATGAACCTACGGACACTGCTGCTATGGCTCGTACTTCCAATCTCAATGAAGAACTTGGACAGGTAGAAAAAAATTTCTGGTTCTAACTGTGAAATTATTCATGTGGTTTTACAATTTAATAATGTGAGTATTTATTTCAAAAAACTTACATTCTTGCCTTAATCTTTTTTTGCTTATTTCTATTTTCTTCATTTTGTCACGATATTTTTAAAAACACTTGGCAATATGTGGGAGTTAGATTTTTGAAACCAGTATTAAATGAACAAACACTGCTTTATGTATCAATATGTATGTGGTAATCACAAAAGGTTGAAGTGTATCATTAAAGTTACAAAATCAGAGGAATTCTGACCATTAAGGCTGTCTGTGGCACAAACATTTAGTCTCTGTATATACACTATGGTAGTGTGCATCTTTAGTATGTCATTGTTTTTTCACACGTTCGGCCTTGCTCAGAAGAGACAGTTGGTATGCTCTAGGAGTGAATCATGATTCTATACATTCCCTCTTTTTTTTGCCACTGAAGATTGGAAGCAGTGAAGGGAATGAGGACTCATGGCTGACTTAAGCCCTGGAAATTTGGGCTTAATTCTTCATTTTGCTTTAAAGTTCTCTTTTAATACTATAAAATCAGCTAGGCTTTTTACAAGAGATCACTCATTGTATGTTCTTCATTTTATGGAAGTATGACTTTGTAGAAAGTGTGTCTGAGGCACAGGGCATGCTTCCAGAAGCACTACACATTGGACTTGCTGTTTCAGCCAACTGTATTTGCAGTCTCGCTTTACAAGCATGCTAAACATTATGCTTTCTGTTACATTGACTGGTGATGGTAAACTGATTCTGTGGAAAAAATATTATGTGCTTGTTTAATTGAACTGTATTATATGCATAAGTATACATATTCTTGCATCTCCTAACCTAGAAGTTTTCATAACTAATTCTTTAGTTCATTGCATGAGACTGTAAAAGTTGTTTTTAGCTTTCTAAGAACAAGAAATAATAATGTAATTGTAGCCACACAGCAAACGAGTCTTAGGGACTAATATTTAAGAGATCTGCCTTTTGGGAGAACAACAGTTGCAGGTTAACATGGTCTAGCATTGGTCTACATAGAGGAGGACAGGGCCTTTGCCTACTGGGTTTAAGAAGTATGTACAGATAGCAGAAAATTTTTCTCTTCCTGGCCTTAAAGGGGAATACAATCTCCTCTAGTGGGGAAGAGACTTTGTTGAATCTTAGCTTTACTTCTGTCTCATATTACACAATCTATCTTTTTTTTCTCTCTCTGCCATTAGCTTGCTATTCACATTCCCAGACACGTTCCCTCTTTTTGACTTTGACAGTTCTTTTCCTCACTTCTTATGTTTCTCATCAAAGTCTTCTTCACCACCAAGATCTAGCCAGTGTTCTTGGGATCTCCACTTTCACTTTTCTGACAGATTCTTAATGTGAGCAGATTTTTGTAGGGACACCAAAGGAGACTCTGCTAACAAAAAGAGCAAGTGTCTTCTCTGAAGTTCAAGGGCTGCACATAATGAAGAGAAGATTTCCCCCAAGAGATCTTCAGGTTTTAAGAAAGGCAAAACTTTGGTGTTGGAAAAAAAGGTTGAGTTTTCTTAGCTGCAGTTCCTGTTTTCCTATTCTGCCCACACAAAAAAAATACAGTTTGAGGCATTGTGGTGGTTTGACCCTGGATGGATGCCAAGTGCCCACCAAAGCCGCTCTATCGCTCCCCTTCTCAACTGGACAGGGGAGAGAAAATATAACGACAAAGCTCATGGGACAAGATAAGGACAGGGAGATCACTGAGCAATTACCGGCACAGGCAAAACAGACTCGATTTGGGGAAAATCAGTTTAATTTATTGCCAATCAAAACTGAGTAGGAGAGAGGAGTGAGAACATGTGTAGGGTAATGAGAAATAAAACCGAATCTTAATACACCTTCCCCCCACCCCTCCCTTCTTCCTGGGCTCAACTTCACTCCCAATTTTCTCTACCTCCTCCCCCTGAGCAGCGAAGGGGGATGGGGAATGGGGGTTGTAGTCAGTTCATCACATGTTGTCTCTGCCACTCCTTCCTCCTCAGGGGGAGGACTCCTCACACTCTTCCCCTGCTCCAGCATGGGGTCTCTACCACAGGAGACAGTCCTCCACGAATTTCTCCAACGTGGGTCCTTCCCATGGGCTGTAGTTCTTCACGAACTGCTCCAGCATGGGTCCCTTGCATGGGGTGCAGTCCTTCAAGAACAGACTGCTCCGGCGTGGGTCCCCCACAGGGTCACAAGTCCTGCCAGCAAACCTGCTCCAATGTGGGCTCTTCTTTCTCCATGGGACCACAGGTCCTGCCAGGAGCCTGCTCCAGTATGGGCTTCCCATGGGGTCACAGCCTCCTTTCGGCACATCCACCTGCTCTGGTGTGGGGTCCTCCCTGGGCTGCAGGTGGAGAGATCTGCTCCACCGTGGACCTCCATGGGCTGCAGGGACACAGCCTGCCTCACCATGGTCTTCACCATGGGCTGCAGGGGAATCTCTGCTATGGTGCCTGGATCACCTCCTCCCCCTCCTTCTTCACTGACCTTGGTGTCTGCAGAGTCGTTCCTGTCACATATTCTCCCTCCTCACTCCAGCTGCAGTTTGTGTCCCATTGTTTGGCTTTTTTTTTTTCCCCCCTTCTTAAATATGTTATCACAGCGGTGCTACCACTGTTGCTGATGGGCTTGGCCTTGGCCAGCAGCGTGCCCATCTTGGAGCCGGCTGTCATTGGCTCTATCGGATATAGGGGAACCTTCTACCAGCTTTTCACAGAAGCCACCCCTGTAACCCTCCTGCTACCAAAACCTTGCCATGCAAACCCAATACAGGCATAAACCTGGCATAGAAAATTTCTTCTAACTGCTGATTTGGCTAGGTCATAATCCATCAGAAACAGAATCTGTAAACAGGAGATGCTGAGTAAATTTTCCTAATACATAGCCTTATTAGCTCCATCTATAATGCAGTTAATTCCTAATTAAGAATACTGTGACTTTTTAATGAGAAATAAATTTTAATGAAATAAAATTGAAGTTTACCTTTGATTAATAGAGCCTTTGTTTCATCACAGACCACTTGATTTCTTCATATATTAGCTTTTTTATTAAGATTAGGTTTGAACTAAATTTAAATGTTTCACAGGTAGATATATTTCAGCTTCGATTTTTAAAATACTTTAACTAGTAGTTTCCGGCAAGCATTTCTGAGCTGTTGGTTTTTTGCTAATGTTTTGGCTTTAAGAAGATATTTCTATGTCAAAAAGGGGGGTTTAGAAATTCATATAGACACTTTTCTTTTACCATATTTTCTGTCAGAAATTGAATATTTTACTAGCAAAGCCATTAGTCTTCACTAGTTTCTTGCATTTCAGCAGTACATAGAGGGAGGAATAGTTAAGTATACCATGATGCACTGAAGCAAGCTTGAGCTTCCTGACATCTCTGTTGATTGCCATGTTTGGAAATGGGTATCAAGACTGCCATGTTTATGTAATGTTTGGTTTGGTTTGGTTTTTGTTTGGTTTGTTTTTTTTTTTAATAAACTATGAAGATTGCAGAACTGGTAAAAATATTTAGTGTGTTGATAGTCATGAATTGTACTAGACATGTAAATAACTGCTGAATGTTAATGTATAATGAATTTTATCATTCATTTAGGTCAAATACATATTTTCTGACAAAACGGGTACCCTGACATGCAATATCATGCAATTTAAGAAGTGTACTGTAGCAGGAATTGCTTATGGGTAGGCATTTTTATATACTTTCTTTATCTGTGTGCCTTTCTTTTCCTCTGCCTGTGCATATGTATCCTTGCATTAATACCTCAGTTAAAATAAACTTACGCCTGGCAATATATACAACTAGGAGTCAGTTTGTTTGTGACTATGAAATGTTGCTTGTAAGAGGTATCGTCACTTCAGTCATGACATCTCTTTTTGCAGAGAGGAACAAAAATAAAGTTTAAATATCAAAGGCTTACTGCTGTAATGCAACTTCAGTATGCATGTTTTTCCTATCACTCAGTCTGTTTAACATTGTTACTAAAAAAAGTCTTCCCTCATATTTGCAAAAACTTGTATCATTGTCCATGGTTCATATTTTGTGTAGGCACATGCTCTTGCACTAAATAATATGCAAGATGAACAAGAATTTGAATTACAGTACTGTAGCATGAACTACAGTACTGCAGCCACCATCCAGGTGGCTTTTATGAATAGCGTTATTGTGGCATAACTACAAGTATCAATGTTACTATTAAGAAATCTCTCCAAACAAAATGCAAACAAAGCGTTTTACTATTTCTTTGTCAGCAGTTGCAGCCAACTCCTTCAACAGAGTTTGTAAAAGCCTCAAACTTCTAGGACTGTTTACTTGAAAAAAATTCATGAGAGCAGTAAACAGAGCAGAAGCACCTACGTTGTAAATGCCGGTGTGGCTTACCAGTATGTGAGATACTGGACCAGGGCCAATCTCAGAGCATTCAGCAGAAGATGATCAGACACCTCTAGAACTGGGCAGAGACCAGGCAGAGGTTATGAAATTAAGCGTTGGGCTTGTGCTAAAGGTGGTGATTTGGCTTTTGTGGGTTTGTCATTTGGATGCCTTTGAAAATCCTAATTTTCAGGAGTCTAATCTAGGCTTTCTGTTTTGAAAAAACTTAGATCCTTAATGCATTAACCATACTGATGATTTTTTTTAATTAGCAGTTCTAATAAAATACAGTTCTAACCCTGATATTTCAAATATGTATATAAATGTGTGTATGTATATTGGGCTCAATTTCAACCACGTGAGCTAATTTTATGACTTCAGAGAAACTGCTCCGAGCTAACTATTTTCAGATTCTTTATATAGTAGTTTTTTAAGGTTAAAAAAATAGATTAATGGTAATGGCACTTAAAATCAGTATTTGATACTCAGTTCATTATATATCTTCATCTGTAGTTGGTATAGCACAAATTCTAAAATTTCTCCTTTATGAAACCTAGGTGTGAATGTATTTTTTAGAAAAAAAAATCTGATTTTTCTTGCTATACTTTCCAGCTCCCATCCACCCCGTTTTGAAAAGAAGTAGACCGGTTTTCTGATTAGCATCACTGTTTAGAAAGCAGAGTTTCTCTTTACAGTGAATAGCCATTACAGCATCTCTCATAGCTACTCGGAGAACAGAGTCACTCTGTCTTTCCGTATTGATGCAAATAAGAAGTTCGGAACACAGAAAAGGGTAAAAGTGACTGTTCCATCTTCCATGCCTCTTCTTTCTAAGGGTGTTATAAATTGCGATATATTTAAACCTGTGTCATTACAGGGCAGAGTCCTTCGTGTGCCGCGGCTAGGTTTGTTCATTGGCATTTGTGAACTCAGACAGACAAGCTGCATTAGCATGGCTTCAGATAATTTAAAAACTACCTTTTGTTTAATGAGAAACTGTGGCAATGTATATATACTGAAATATAAAGCAAGATTTCTAAAGAGGGCAAATGCCTTTATATCTGTTGGTATAAGTTAGTAAGTAGACAAGCTTCCGATTGGGGGGGGGGGGGGGGGGAAAAGTTCATTTATAGTTTATGAAGCCTCAAGAGAAACATCATACTTTTACAATATTTATTATTATCTAGGCACCAGTAAAATACTCAGTTGAGATACCTTTACAACTTTTTCTTAGTAATAAAATTTCATTAACAAAATTCTTTTTTATACATGATCACATTTTTTAGCCTTTGTGATTCTTTTTCCTCTCCCTGTTTCTGTTCTTCCCTTACTTCACGTGCAGCCATTGCCCTGAGCCTGAGGATTATAGTGTTCCTTCAGATGATTGGTAAGCTTTAAAAAAAATCACTTAGCATGTGGTGTTTGAAGATTCAAGCTTGAAACCAGTGAGTGAGATTTTTAGAAACAGAGCTAAAGGTGAGGTATTTTACTCAAAAGTTATTTCAGCTTCAAAATGATGCAGACCGACAGAGTCTTACTCAAATTTATGCCATCAGAATTCTACAGCATTAAGTTGTGTATTCTGGAATAGAATTGCTAGTAGGGTCACTGAGGTACAGTACAGTTATTCTACTGACAGTCCTGTACAATTCAGAATTGCTTATTGGAGGGAAAGTTTTTTCATTTATTAAGGTAGTTGGTATAATGGTAACTTTGATCACACTTTTCTACTGTTACTTAGTAAGAATTTAGGAATAATCTCTAATACATTTTAAAAAATCCATATTTGAGAGCAAAAAACACATAATACATTGTTACTAATATTTTACTTCCTATAGATAGTTTTGCAATATTAGTACTACCTAATTCTTAACTGAAACTGAGATGAAAGCATCCAAATACACTTGGGGACAACATTAATCTCTTAACAGGGACCTCAGGAAAGACTCAGGAAAGTCCTGTCTTCCCTTCTGCTGCCATCTGCATGCATGATGCCTTCTACTTCTTCATCATTCTTTCTTAAACTAAGTATTTGCAATAGCATTCAAAATAAGCTCAGATAGATTAGGGGAAAATGTCATTTACAGTCTTTAAGTTATCACTATTGTATTTGTTGAAAATCAAAGGAAGATACGTCACACAATACTATAATATGTTGTCTCCTTATGTTTAAAACATTTGAAGGAAAAAACTTGCTTTGCTAGATTAGAATTAATAATGCTTTCTTTAGATCAAAAAAGAAAAATTCTACCCACATACAAATAAAAAGTAGCACACATGCACACCCCAAAATCTTACCTGACCTGAATATCCTCATTTGATGTAGCAGCAAGATGTTTCTTACAAAGATGTACAAGTGTGCTTAATTGTGCACAAGTGAGTGGTTTCATTAAAATAATGTGATGCTTACATGAAACTAAGCATGCTTCTGTATAAGATATTTATGAAATAAGACTGGTTTTGACTAATACACATCAAAATATTTGTAAGCACATCGGAAATGGATAAACTGATGCCTGAAGAGTAGTTAAAAAAAAAAAAAGAAAAACAAACACGAACCCAGTACTTCCCTTTTTTAAGTGATACACACCTTGTAAATACTTATGAAATAAGAGGAATTTTTTTTTGTTTGTAAACCTGTTGTAATTCGTAGAATCTGTTTATGACAGTAACATTTCTAGTCCTAAAATGACTAATGTACTGAATTCCAAATCTTCTAAATCTTTATTTTTTTTATTAGAAAGAATTGTTTTCCAGTTTGACACAACATATAGCTGCAAATATTTTCTCTTTTTTTATCATTGAGAATCTGGAAAGTGTCTTGAAGTCTTTCTGTCAGGAAGCTTTTAAGCAAACAAGGCTTAAACGTTACACTCTAAACAAATTTAATATATCTGAAGTTGTTAACATTTGGCACTTCAAGATCCATCTGCTTTGCATAAAAAAAGTCTTGGTGAATGAGGATGCTTTGAATTTTTCACTTTCATGATAGGGTTTTAGAAAAAGTAGTCCTTGAGTTGTTATATAGAGGAGGTTCTGCCATTTGATATTCTTTCATGATAGTGCAGGACTAGAACAGCTCACTTCTGGCTTTCATAAAGAATCTTTATACTGCTGTTGATGTATGTGGCTTATCCTTCAACTTAAATCACCGAATATGTTCACGGTCTTCTAAGATTATGTAATCCAAGGCAAAATCCAAAGTAAAGATTAACTTTTCAGCACTGTTTATTTTACTGAGATTCAAACTCAACTACATTGTCTTAATACTCAACAGTCAGCTGCAGTAACAAGTCTTCCTAGAAGTATCTACTTTTTCCGAACTCTCAGCTTGAGCCAGAAGGCTTGTGCAATTTGAGAGGTGTTAGTGTATGACTTTATTTCTCCAGAACCGTCTCCACCTTGCATCTCTTCAGTCCCTTCCTACTTCACCATTGTTGCTGTGTCATCTTTATACATCAGTTTGATAGGTTCCTTTTTGATCATGAGTAATAGAAAACAAACCTTCTCCAGGCAGACTTCTGTGATGTCTGAACTCAGTTTGCCTACCCCTTTCAGATACTGGACTTTCTTATTTGCAGACATTTGCCAACATATTGCAAAGCTGCTTATTTCTCAAAGAAGTGTGATCTCTTCAAGCATATCTTGTTCTGAGTCTGAGTCCCTCCAATAATCTCGTTCTATGGAGATCAGAAGACAAGACGACACAGTCTTACATTGTAGATTTATTTTTATTTCATCCGGTGTTACCTGAAGTCAGCAGAAAAACTTTGCTGGATTTGAGTGTATTTATATGAATCAAGGTTTATTAAAGTTAGATAAGCTTTGGAGATGCAAAACAAGTACCTTTTCACTTCATTTTCTCATAATACGAGATTGCAGCCTTTATTGTTAACAGCTACAAACCAAAATTTGTGTTTGACCTTAGCACAGTAATGTGGATGATTTGTAGATGAATTGTTAAGAATATGCTAAAGATGATCTCTTTTGTACTTAATTATTTCTAGGCAGGGCTCACAAAATGGAGAAGAAAAAGCATTTAGTGACTCATCATTACTGGAGAATCTTCAAAGCAATCATGTAAGTTACATAGAAACAATTACCATTGTTTTGTGAAATCAAACCATTGCTTTCAGTAAGTCAAAAGATGATGTCCTTTGAAGGAAAATAAATTACGTATTTACACAAAATCAGCATGCCCTCATGAATGCTTTTATAATTGTTTGTTGTAGAAACATGGTAATTAGATCCACCTGGAAATAACATGTAGTGTTAACTTCTGGAGAGCCTATTTAAAGCAGAGGGAACTCTGTCCTTAGCTGCACAGGCCAGTTTTAGTGCTAGTAACATAGACTTGGAAGAGGCATCATCCTGTTTCTGCTGTTGTCTAGAGAATCCTTGGTGTGCAGGTGACTGGAATCTTGGAAGTTTTCTGGTAGATCTGTAGTATTAAGTGGTTTTGTGTGTGTATATATATGTATATATATAAAAGCTATGAAAATGCACTTGTATACATCTTAAAGTAAAAATTCAGGCACAAATTCAAAGAGGGTTTCACCACTGTATGTTAAATGTGTTCTGAAGTGCTTTGGAAAAGAATCTGTAATTCAGCCTTTTGAATACATCTTAGAGGACCTGGGGGCCCTCAGTGGAAGAGGACAGGAACTTGCTTCCATTAGTGTTTCTGCACGGTGGATTTAAGTTAGGTTTTCAGAGATTATTGTGTTTTATAGAATAATTGTAATGTTATCTTGATTGTTGACATTCTTAGTCTGAAATACTATAAATATGCTACAAAAAAACTCACTTGAGGTGGCAGCTGCTTTGAGCTTATTTAGGGGGAATGCTGGGGTTTATTTTGACCAACAAAGCAGAAGTCAGTTCATTCATTTTGCAAATTTTAGCTGTATTAGTCAAAAACAATCAGCTATTTTGCTTATATACTCTCTTTTTCCCTCTCTTGGCTAAATCATTTTAAATTCTTAGAGCTTTGTACGCTCTGAAGTGCCTGAGACATTCATCTAAATGTCTTCCTTTAAAAGCTGTCTGCTTGACCTTGCAGCATTTTCTACGTGATTTTCGGGTTTGATTGCTATATCTTTCTAACGGTTCTTAAAAAGTGGTGTCAAATATAGTATTAGACAAAAGTAATGTAAAAAGCAATTATTTTAGTAAAAAAGACAACATCCAAAGAGACTGTAGTGAATAATAGAAATAAAATCATTTTAAAGTAAAATTCTTGCAATACAGCGTTCATAGAATCATAGCATCATTTAGGTCAGAAAAGAGCTTTAAGATCATCGAGTGCAACTATAAACCTAACATTGCCAAGTCCCGCTAAACCATGTCCCTAAGTGCCACATCTACACATCTTCTAAGTACCTCCAGGGATGGTGACTCAACCACTTCCCTGGGCAGCCTGTTCCAAAGCTTGATAACCCATTTGGTGGCGAAATTTTTCCTAATACCCAGTCTAAACCTCCCCTGGTGCAGCTTGAAGCCATTTCCTCTCATCCTATTCAGACATACCTTCCCTATAAAGTGCTAATTTGAATTATTCTATGTTTCTGGTTATCTACTTTTGATTGTTATGAAAGCAAATGCCACTAAATTCTGTCTATATAGCCTGTATTGAAGTACAGCAGCAAGAAGTTATTCTGAATGCTGAAATAAGTGTATAGCTAATGTCTGGTTTGTTTAGTTGTTGATAGATTAAAGAGAGAAAAAAAATCTTTCATTAACTTTTTCTTCACTGTTATTTGTCCGTATCTATTCTTACATTTCAGTTAATTATTGCTTAAATGATTAATTACTTTCTGACATCTTTTTTTTTTAGCCAACTGCACCTATAATATGTGAGTTTTTGACAATGATGGCAGTGTGTCATACAGCAGTTCCAGAAAGAGAAGGTGATAAAATTATATATCAAGCAGCATCTCCAGGTGAGAATGAAATAATTGAATGAACATACGGTATCCTATCAACTCAATAAGCAAATTTTATTCAAAGTTGGGGGTTTTTTTGAGTTATCTTCTAAAATTAAAAAAGAAAACATATCCCTCAGAAAAAGAATTGGTGTCAGCTAAAATCAGGCTTGTCAAAAAAGAATTTAGACTTTTCTAATTTGCTTTAGAAAATACATATGGATGTCCTGTGGCTTATTTAAGGGCAAAGGGTGATTAACCATACAGCATTCCTAAGGTGTTGTCAGATTGCTGTGGAAGTCTGAAGGAACTGCTCAAATGCAGATAGAAATCAAACCAGGAGACAAATTTATGTCCTTGTTTGTGAACCTATTGTGTACTTGGTAACCATGGTATTGATTTAGAACAAAGACTGTGTTTGTAATCAAAAACAAACAAGAAATGTTTTCACCAGGATAAAAGTTGCAGTAAGGTCTGCTATAGAGTGAGAAAAGATTATAGTGCAAAATGATAAAGCAAGGCAAAATGATAAAAATATACTCAGCTCTGCTGAGCTAATGTATTATGACAAGCTATGATGGGAGAAATTACATGAAGCACAGAGAGTCTCAAGCCTTCGTCTTCCCTGTCTGCCCTAGCTCCTAGGTGGCCATCTCTCTGGAAATTCTGTCCTTCAACTGGAGAAGCAGGGCAGAAGTAGGGCCATAAATAAAGCTAATTGGGCCACGGCAGTGTTTTATTGGGCATGGTGAGCAAATTCAGTTCTGACATCTTGAGCCATTTGGAGAGAACTGATACCTATGGGAGTCTGGGTCACTGCTTGAAATGTTTCCTGAATGTAGGCATTGAAGTTATGTATTATTTACAGGAATGACTTATCACTCTCTTCTTCTAAAACAGAACTCACACAAAGAGGAAAGTACCTTGTCCAGTGCCCTACTGCGTAAGGCACTTGCCTAGCAATTAGGAGGTTTGTTCTCTAAGCAACATCTCTAGTCAACATCCAAACTTCTAACCACCTGAAAGTAGGCTAATGGGGAGAAGAAAGTCAGGAAGTCTTGTCTCTTGATGAAGCGTGTCATTGTGTCTACTGGAACATATAATTCATTAGTTTACAACATAAAACTTTGAAGAGGATGTTCTTGCTACTGAGCTGAGAGGCATGTTTCTTCAGGGCTTTATTTTCTCTGAATTGTAAACTCATTTCATCGCAGTTTTAAGAGGAGAAACAAAGCATTCTTTCCAGCACCGCATCTAATCTTAAAAATCTGTAAAGGAAAAAGGAAGTCAAAAGTAGAAAAGCTTGAACCATGTCCAGTAAATCAGGGTATACTAACAGTTTTCTGGTACATCTGTAAAATAACTAATTAACTTGTTGCAGATGAAGGAGCGTTGGTCAGAGCAGCCAGGCGTCTTCGTTTTGTATTCACTGGAAGGACACCTGACTCAGTAATCATAGAGTCTGTAAGTACATTGGAGTAACATTATAATTTGCTATGTTTACTATTGCCATAGTAAATAATTTCTGAATAACTGCATCATGGTACATATGTATTGAGATGTTGTTTGTTTCTTTTTGGCTCTTTTCCTTGAGGTTTTTTGCATTAATTCTCAGGTTTGTGTTTGGTTTTGTTTTGTTTTCTTTTTTTTTTTTTAAATTCTTCAGCTGGGACAAGAAGAAAGATATGAACTACTAAATGTCCTGGAATTTACAAGGTAAACAGCATATTGTGTTCTTAGCCTCTTTTCATGAAAATACTTTTGTTAATTTCTCTTATGGATAAAAATGTTTGCATTTTTTATGTTTGTACAGGCAAAGTGTGCAGGTTGTGTGGCTTTTATCTCAACAATATGTCATCATACTATAGGCAAAGCAGTGCACATGGTTAAGATCACACTCCTGGGTTTATTGTAAAATGTTTTCAGAGACATGTATTTTTTCGATTGTCTCCTTTTGGGCTAATATTTTTCACTTCTGCTTTTGCACAAAGATTAAAAAAAAATCTTGATATCGAAACTTTAAAAAATTATGTGAAAAGACAGCATAGGAAAGTATTTGAATTTCTAAATGTATTTCTGAAAGCCCTAGCACCATGTGCTCTATTAAAAAAAATTGTATTTATAGGCAGAGGGGAAGTTTCAAGTATAACTTGTATTTGCCTTGACTGATAGAATGAAATTTTGCATTTGACCTTAAATATACTTGTTTATGACTTGTTTAAATATTTTAGACTGAAACCCATTCACTTCTGAGCAGCATTGCTAGAGCATTGGCCAGCTAGTTTTCTTGGAAACTGAGTTTTTTGCATACTTTGCTTCCAGTAAAAATTTTCTGTCAAAGCTGTTGGAATTATAAAGGTACCCATAAGAAATCTGGATGCAGTTTCACTTGTTATGTAAATCTGTTTAAATTGTATCCATGTATGCAGTCTGTGTTTTAAGTATTCGTTGCTTAGTTTGGCACAGGATGGGGAAGACATTTGTATGAGAGGAAGCTCTTTTTTTCTTAGAACGATTACTTGTAATTGTGCCTGTGGAAAGTGATCATTGTTTTCCTTCCTGTCCTATTATGTTTCCTTTGAGCTTAGCTAAAGAAGCAAAAAGATCACTAAACAAAAATCCAGGGCAATACTGGAGAGATGGGCTGAAGATGCATAGGTTGGGTGAAATGAGAGAAGTAGTTGCCTGTAGTTACAATAATAGCAATAATAATGTGAACTATAAAGATCGCCACAGTGAAAAAAAAAATAATGTGATAGAAAGTAATTTTTATAGTTTTGAATGTCTTTTAATGCTTGCTTGCAATTAATGTTGTTTTTATATATCGTAGAGGACATACTTGAAATTTTTCAGATTTATGCCATGGTTTCATTTTTCTGTAGGCACTTCTTTCAGTATGTAGCACAAAGTGCGTTGTTGTTTGACATCTCTGAAAGTTTATACTGTATTCATGGAGTAGCAGTGAAGGATTCCTACTTTGTTTCCGGTTTTGATCTTTGGCTTGATTTCATAGACCTCTTTAAACCTCTGTGTCAGTCTAAAATTGTCATTTAAACAGTGATACTTTATGGAGAAAGGAGAATTGCTTTCATATCTTAACCTTTGGAGGATTAAGTTTTTTGGCAGATGCCAATCACCCAACTCTATTAAGCATTCAGGTTTTGTAGCTGGTTTTGTTCTTACTCTGTAATGCTTAGCTTTGCTTGGAACTGACTTGTTGGAAGCACTAGAGGTCACCCTTGTTCCACAGCAAGAGAAATTTTGGCTCCAAAACATAACACCATCTGTATGGGTATGAGCATGTACCTTCAGAGGAGTAATCTGTAGCTATTAAACAATTGAGTGAAGAGTTTCCAGGTGTTTCTCCCATAAAAAATGCAAACTAATTCCTTGCCACCTTCCACTACAAGCCAGATAAGAAGACTCTTCTGCAAGTAGAGTGCAACAGCGTCAACATTTGATAGAAAAGTCTTTCAGAGAAGTATGTTACAGAAGTAAAACTTGTAGCAATGCTTGGTAGAGTTGTCTTTTATGGTATTCTCTTTTTACAGTGATCATAGCTGTGCCTGTGAAAAGAGAAGTAGTAGACTTATACAATATGCTAATTATACTTTGTTCACAGCAAGGAAGAAGCTCACAGTCTAACTGGCAGGTGAAGCATACTGAAAGCAACTGATAATCCTTAACCAGCTGACAGTTATTCCTAAAATACAGTGCTGACCTCTGTGGAGCAAATAGTGTCTTCATAACTTGTGCTGAGTTTAGGTTGCCTCCAATAGATACTCTGCTCAGATGCCATAACTGCTGAGGTACCTTAAGCTCAAGGAAGTGAAGAGTTTTTCAGACCCTTTGCTGTTCAGGTCTCCACATGCTGTCAGGGAAGGAATTGTGCAGAGTTGTGCCCATTCTTGTATTCTGTCACTTGGAACTGTAACAAATAGAAAAAACTGCAGCTGTCTCTTGGGAGCCAAAACCAACTCCTAGGGATGTATCTATGGGGCAGGGAGAAGCAAGGCACTATGTCAGTTAAGGATCTGGAAGCAAAGAATGTCTTATGCTTACTGCCATCCCTGTGCCGAGTATGTGCACTGTCCTTCCACGTGGGCCAGTTGCAAAGATGAGCACAATTTTAAGCAGGTGATTCCTTGTTTCAGTAAGCATAAACGATGTCCACTGTCAGTGCACAAATTGCACATCAGTCCTTGCTTCAACATGTCATTACCAGCAGTGCTACTGAATGAGGTTTTGACTTGTATCTGCTTGTTTTGTTAGAGGAATTAATGGAATTTTTAACACCAGAATTAATTTCACCGGCCAGTATTAAGTATAGATGTAGTAGTAATATCTCAATCTCTGGGGTATGTACGATCTATTGATTTAATGACTGATTTTCATCTGCATCCCTGGGGCATATCTCCACAGTGTAGCAGAAACAGTCTGTGATAGTTACAGAGAAAAGCTTCTTGTCTAAAAACGAAATATTTTTGTTTTAGAATGCCGATGTATTTATCTGAAATATAGCAATAGCGTGACTAGTCCCCTGTCTGATCAGTTTTATGAATAATCCACATTGCCTTGAGTGATGTACTGAGCGACAGAAGGCCTCCTCCTACAGCGTTTGAGACCTTATCACCTCTCCATCATTCAAAGAGGTCCAGAATACACTGATCCTGTTTTGTGACTGAAGACTGATATTGGTACCAAAACCTCTGTAGAAGTGCTTTTTTTCTGTGGTTGTATGCTTACGCTCTGAAGGAATTTTCATCTTAAACGTGATACAGATTTTTAAAGTAACAGGGGGCCCATCAAGAGCTACTTCTGCATTCTCAGATTCTGGAAGTGGCAAATCTTGTGACTGAGGGAGGTATTTCTGTCCCCTTAAAGTGCTTCTGTCCATCTGTAATCCCATGGTAACTCCATGGGAATTACCAGCTATTCTGCCTCCTTGTCACGACCCAAAGGGTTACCCGGCCTGCAAGCATACAGAGATCACAACAGCGGGTTTGAAGGATTCCATAACACACAAGGACACAGAGGTTTTATTTTCTAATTTTTTTATTACAGATTACTACAAATTACTATTAGTAAAGCACGTATACTCGTAAGTAATACAGTACATTTATATTTCAGTAGTAGCAGCAATCGATAGTAGCAGCAAGTGTATATTTCCGTATATTGCAAGTTGCTATTAAATTATCACTAGTGAAGAAATACACGTAGACTCAGCTACCTATATGTGCGTGCATGCACACACACACACATATATATTATTCAAAATAATATGGGTACAGTGCTCACCAAACTGCTCCCAAGAGTGGGGCCTCAAAGTGGATGACAGACAAAGTCTCACTTTGAAGAGTGAGAGTCTGGAGTCAGCCAGGTGTTCCTGGTGATGGTCCAATAACTTGTCTGGGAGATGTCAGAGAAAAATTCATGCAGGGGGAGTTCTCAGAGAGAGGCGCTCCATTTTGGGTAAAAGTGAGTCATTTTTACATGGCAGAGACATAAGGGGGCGTAGGACACCACCGCCTGGAGCAGTCAATAGATGCTGCTGATTTCTATTTTTCACCTGGGACGGCCAATAGATGATGGTGGTTTATTTTCTCTCAGACCTATTTTTATTTTTCCAGACTGTTTTTGTGTTCTTTCAGCTAGAACAACCAATAGCAGTTGCCGATTCCTACTTTCGCAGGATGTTTTCTCCCATTTCCAGACTTTCTGGCCTTTCCAGACAATAAGTTGCGGTTACAGTTCCTTGTTTTGTACTCATTAATGGTTTCTAGGTACCCATCTGTCCTTCAGAGATGCCGGCTGTGGTTCTCAAAGATGTTTCTGGTTCCCAGGCTAGCAGTTCCCAGGCTGGCAGGCATTTTCTCTGTCAGTATTTCAGCAGACATCTTCTGTTCAGTGTTTTTCCCCTTATAACTGGGTCGCCTTTATGGCTGCTCACATGACTCCTACGGTGTAGCAAACAAAACAAAAAAATGGTCTCACACCGACAGTTATTTGTAGTAATGCAATTTTGTGGTTTTCTGTATTTCACCGAGAAAAGGAAATAAAACTGTCACTGCAATGAAAAGGCTCATAAAAAATCCTTGACAGTAAGTCCTTCTCATTAGCTTTATTGCAGTTTTACTAAGAAAATGTATGTCAGTCAAGATTCAGTATCTGTTTTCATAGTTAAAGTTTCAAAATGCTACGGGAAAACATAGGTTATTCTCTGATACATCTTCAGTAGATTGATAGGCAGCTGTATGCAGAACTTTAGGATTGCAATCTTCTGGTATTGCAAGACAAGTACAAAACTGTGGAGTTTCTACCTGTCAGGGTCATGTGTATCAAATTATCATTTATACAGACCCTAGATTACTGTAATTCCTGCACAATTCCTTAACTGAACATTCAGGCAAGTGTAATGAATTTAAGTACAGTAGGCTAGATAATCTTTCCAGGAATCAAAGTGGATCTGAGACTTGCTTTTATTTTAGGCAACTTAAGTGCATTTTGAATGATCTGAATTTCTCCACTGTTGTAGAAGCAGATCCCCAACTGGACACTGTCTAAGGGGTTTTGGAGTTCTGCTTATCTGAGGTTTTTTGGATTAGAGATGAAATGGAGAATGAGTTGCAGCAGTTAATGCCTTTTTATGCTCTCTTGTGCAATATTCACGGTAGAAATGTAATTTAATATTGCTGTTCAGATGTCTGTACTTGAAGCTAAGTGCATGCACAGGTAGAATAGGTATTTTCTTGAAGATACTATTCAGTCAGTTACTTCACCAGTAATTATAAAATTCTTTCCTCCACCCATCTCCAAACATTCCACTTATAGAATGTTTTCCATGGCAGTCTTGAACTTCAGGAACCATTCATACAATAATGCTATTTGATCTATAAATGGGATCCGGTTCCAACAGGAACTGGAATTGTAAAAGGACCATTTACTTCCACTTCTTTTATGTATTTTACTGTGAACTGTTGCATGAGAAACATGTTTTGTTCCCTGAACAGTGTCCGTGGATTTATTTTAAAAACTTGAAGTTTGAAATAATTATGGTATAAATACACATTTTGACTGGACATGATCTTGAATCTAAAGTATGCTTGTTGGAGGACCTCAAAGGGAAGACAGAATGTGGAGAGTGATAGTCTTCTCCATGCTTTCCTCCAATTCCTACCTTAGTCATGAGGACAAAAAGAAAAAAATAATTAGATCTCATTAATGACTTAGAGCCAGAGAGTAGTTAAAATGAGGAGAAACCCTTTCCAGTTCTTAGCATACTTAAAAGTTTGCGTGATGAATGATACTCTGGGATGACAGTAATAGGATTGCAGCACAGTATAGTGTACGAGAGACTCTGGCTGGCTGGCTGGGAAGGAAGAAAAAGCTGAAATCTCTTTATGGTATTGGTCGCAAGTGCTTTGTGCTTTAAGATGCTTTTTTTGTGATCAGTAGACAGTATTCAGATGAAGCTGAAGATTCTCAAATTTGTCTTTACGGGAAAAAGGCCTACAGAAGTATGCACAGAAAAACAGCATTCACTCTAATTATTAGACAGTAAAGCTGTTTTTCCTTCCCAGTCACCTGAGAACATAATTCAGAATAGATAGCCCTTACTTCTTTTCCTTTGTCTTATATAAGATATATATTGATATTCTTAGGTAAAATGTTGATAGGTAACTATATTTACAAACCGCCTTATATAGGGCATTTATTTCTCTTTCAGCACTAGGAAGAGAATGTCAGTGATAGTTCGCACACCATCGGGCAAGTTAAGACTGTACTGCAAAGGAGCTGTGAGTTTTACTCTGTTTTCACTGTATCAAAGAACATGTGCTACCAATACAAATACGAGAGCAAAAGGTTGTTACAACTGCAGTCAAACGCTGAAAATGTGGAAGAAGGAATGTTGGTGCCTTTTTCAATTTACATCATTTTACTATGTAGCTGTTTAATGTGATGAACTAGTTAATGTCTTTTTTTACTAACTGCCTATGAAGATATGACAGACCTGTTCATCCTATTCTTTGTACTGGACTAATACCTTTATGCTTCCTATTAATTACTTCCTTCTGTGCTCCAAGAAAATGGATGAATATATGGTTTAATCTATTAGTTACTTGCTGGAGTAGCTGAGCATGAATCACTAGGTAGAAATAGTAATCTAGCATAAGTGACTAGATAGGAGTTTTAACCTACCACTGATGGTATGCCAGAAGTAAATTTTCCTGAAAACAAGATCTATGGGAAGATATCTTAATCATACCTTAATGTATCTGGGAATGGCAGAGTTGCTCATTAGTTCTTGTTCTGTATCTTAAGTCAAGTTTGGGGGGGGATGCAAATCCAGTTCCTGAATGGTTTAAAAAAATGAAGTTGGTTGAATATAAATGTCCGTTCTGTATCTTCTCAAGTGGAGAGAAGAAGCTGTCATTGATATTCTGTATATCAAGCTGGCTACAAGAACCTGAGAATGGCAATTATGAAATACTATTTTTATCTTGTGGGCTTAATATTAAAGAGGAAGACAGCATTTTAGGAGATTGAAATAAATTCACGTGGCAAGTCAAAGGAAGATGCAGCGCTTTTTAAAATGAAGGGAAATAACAGCAAAATATGTAGGAAAGAAAAACTGCATCATAGCAGAATTTGTAAATTTTGAGAATCTGGGGATTTGGAATGTCCTTTTTTCCTTCCTCTGAAATAAAATTACTTCTATTCATTTTTGATGCTGAAATAAATTAATACAGTGCTGCATATTTTTCTTCCGTTTTCCTACATGATTTGTATTGTCTACACAAAAAAACTCATTTTTCTCTTACTTGTTCTGAGTTCATTTTATTTGTTTTGTAGGATACAGTAATTTATGACCGCCTTGCTGAAAGTTCAAAATACAAAGAAATCACTTTAAAACATCTAGAGCAGTTTGCTACAGAAGGTGGGTGATACTGTTCAATATAAAACTAAATATGAAATTCAGTTACTGCTCAACTTTTCAGTTTTGCAATTTTATGTTGCTGTAATGTTTTAGTCACGTTAAGTTTGAAAATTAATGTTCTACTAATGACTCCCAAAAAAGATCTTCCTCTTCCTGAGAAGTTTCAGTAATAAGTTCACCCTTAACCAAAAAAAAAAAAAAAACAAACCCAAAAAACACCCACACAGTTCACAGTGAAGTCTTTTAAACAAAATACATTTTTCCAGTGAGCACACACATTGCATGTTGTTTGTTTCTGTGAAGATCTCATTTCCCATGACCACTTTCGTGTCCCACATACAATGAATGCTGTAGGGATGGCACACAGGAAGAAGTAGCCAAAGTGAAGATGCTTGGAAACGACTAGCGTAGTGCTTTTAAGGTAACTTTATGCTACATTATTTCTGTCACCAGTCACAGTAAGGGGAATTGTCAGCATCATAGCTTTCCATATAGTGTGGTTTTGGTATCTCTGCTGTTTTAACAAACACTCTTACAAAGCAGTTGCTGAAGGTGGGGGACCCCTCCATGAGCATTCATGAAGTAGGAATAGTAAGTAAAATTTAAAAGACTGTGAAGTTAAGATGATTGATACAAACAGCCAGTTAGTTATTTAATAATAGTGGATTCCACAATATAGACATGAGCAGGAAAGCAGGTTTCTGCTTTTATGTAAGTTCTTCTAGCACAGTTCCTAGATGTTCTATGCCATGCCCCCTTTCTGGTATCTTAGTAAAGGATTATAGAGTTGTACTGTGAAGTATCATAGTGTTTTAATTTATTGATGAGTTGGGAGAGAGGAGGTGGAAGCAGAATTATAGTAGTGCAATTATTTTACATCTTCATTTTTTTAACACAGTTAGTAGAACACTAAAATTATCTTTAATGTGTCTTAAGAAATAAGCTTACACTGGAAAGCAAACTTTATTAAAATATTTTCCTTCTAAAATACAATCCTTACCTTTTGATAACTGATGTCTGGCCAAATCTTCTTGTATCAGGAAAGATCCTTTTTCTGTGTGTGACACATATGATTTCTCTAATCTTTCTTTTTTTTTTGGTTTATAATGGAACTTAGCATTTTGATTAGCATCGTAGTCGGCACCTTCAGTCTCTTGATTCTGTCAGCGACAGCAGACACAGATCTGTTTCTTTTGTTAGTTTTCCATATCAAGATCTCTGCAGGAAACATTTGGTTAGCCTTAAATAATCTTAGAGTACCAAAGTTATAATAAATTGTACAATAAAGTTGAAATCAGAACTAAAACCAAACAAATTTGGCTGATGGTGCAACAAGAGGCCTCAGATACAACTGGATTCATGAGCTCCAAGGGTGTATGAGCTGATTGGCCAGTTTGGGGTTCTATAAAGGTCTAACCAGAATTAGTCAAGGAAAAGTTACTTAGATGTGAAGTTAGTTTGGATCATAAGGCTATATATTTGGTTACAGAAAAGTTAAAAATAGATCAATATCTGCTATCCTGTGTGAATATGAAAATTTCAGTCCAATTCTTAATTACTGTTCTCATTAAATCAGTGGTACAACTGATACCATTTTTTCCTTAGCAGTCAGGTTGGACCGAATGAGTCAACATTAAAAAGTGAAAAATTCCACCCAACTTTAAAACCACCGTACATACATATTAGTGTTAAGAAGTTTGTTCAAGTACTTCTTGTACCCTTCTTTTCAACAGATGAAAAGATTTACTGTTCAGAAGAGTGAATTGCTAACCTTTCAAAAGCATAAAATTCAATCTTTAAAAAAAAAAATTAAGTACGTGTCTCTCTGGAATCAATTAAAGAAATTTGTATTTATTTTTGCATCAGATTTAAATTGCAGCTGATGACGTTGCAAAGTTTCTCATGTGTATCCTTTCATGTGGCAGTACAGTATGTCCTTGGCATTTGCTGCATGCTCTTGGTGTGTTGTTCAAAAATGAAGTGGTTAGCATGGCTGGCATTTATATTTAAGCATTTATTAAGCTTGAGTGTTAATGCCTGCTTGGATAAATAGAGAAAGTGTATAATTTTCCTGTGTTGTTGTTCCAGTCTGTTAAGAAGCAGACTTCATGGTATTTTGTTTTCCACAAATCTTTTTTTTAATTAAAAATAGAAGAAATAATTAGGCTCTGATTTAAAAAGAAAAAGCAAATGCCTTGAAAAACTTGTTTGCTGATATTCCTGATTTCTTCATTCTATCATCTGCATAAAATACTTTGAAAGAATTGTGAAAATAGTATTATTATTAGTCAGTCATAAATTCTTTTCTTCCCCCTCACCTCATATTTATTTCTTTGGACCTTGCTAGCATATCGTTATTACACGGGTGGGGAGGCAGGGGGGAAGCAAACAGTTGATTTGTTAGCCTTAAGTTAATTCTTTAGGTGTAGATGGTGAGAAGCTGTGTTCCTAATGCTGTTCGCTTGTTAAGATACTAGGATTACACATGGTTTTGATCCTGAGGGTATTAAATTACTGTCTTACATCTAAGACACGTATGTATTATTTCATGCCCAGCCTCTTGATCATTTCAAAATTGCTGCTGGTGCTGAGCTGTAGACAGCAGAAACCTGTGAACAAAGAAAGATTGTATTTAGCTATCCCTGATTACAGTGCTCCTAGAGGAGAGGCCAAAGGCACTAACTACATTGGTCCTGCCTGTCTGCCTCCTAAATCTGCCTGCCTGCAAATTGCGGCTTCATAAGACATCATTTGGCTAGAGCAGTGCTCTTCTCAGTATATAGAGAGTTATGCCAATTTCGTCCTCTAGAAATCTAAGAATCTCATAATATATGGAAATGAACTGTTAGGACATTCACACCTGGCTACTTAAATTGAATGGATGTGTCTGTTGTCAAAAAAATAGATGTTTCTTGTAATCTTGCAGTCTTGAATTCTCACTGTGATGCTCAATTCAGGTTTCTGCTGATGGAAAAAATCTGTTAAGTATAACCAGCTCAAAGATTGTTAAGTAAAATCTCCAAATGTTGCCTGTACACAAGGCACATTGGAAAGCTGAAGGAATCTGAGAGATGGGAAAATTAAACCCGAGCAGATTCAAAGTCAGCTTCTAGGTGGTAAATTTCAAACTTCAGCTGAGAATTTCCTAAGAATATTGAGGAGGGATGAAGAAGAGGGTAGTTGTAACATTATGCTAAGATATTTTAACTTTATTGCTTTTCAGCACAGCAACACAAGTTTTTAAATTTTTGTTCAGAAATATAATTCAATCTTATAGTTTTAATGTTGCTAAAAATCTAATGTACACTGTTCAGCAAGTGTAATTTGGGATTGCTTCATGTTTTGTTTACAGTTTAAGATAAGTTGAATCTTGTGTAAAATTTTTTTTCCTGTATTACATTCAGCTACCTTGAAAGAGTTACTCTGTTGAATAAATTGCTATTTATATGATTTTTGCTTTGTATATATATTTTAAACAGTTCTTCAAGACATGCAGCAGTAAGTTCAAAATTGGCATAAGTATACATAAAATACAGAATAAATTCAGCTTTTAGTAGTTACTCATTGCAGGCATATCAAGGAAAGGACTAACAAATACTGGATCATACTTACTATCTGCTTTCTCTTTAGGCTTAAGAACTCTGTGTTTTGCTGTGGCTGAGATTTCAGAAAGTGATTATCAAGAGTGGTTAGATGTCTATCACCGTGCTTCTACAGCTATACAGAACAGAGCACTCAAACTTGAGGAGAGCTATGAACTAATTGAAAAAGTATGTGTAGCTTTCTGGGGTGGGAGGGGAGGCAAGAAGAGTGGTTTTCTAATTAATGTCCTTGTTTTATATACTATGAAGTCTGAATCATTATTGAGGAATAATGCTTAGACAGAAAAAAATCTAGCAATATTCTGACAGCTGTGTCATGTAGTCTTTGTGGTTTAGCTGATCAAAATGAAGGAAAGATTAATTTGACAAAGTTTTTGCAACAAGTAGCTAACCTTGCCAGAAAGTATTGAGTTGAACTACTGGAAAGCTTTTTTCTGAGAGTTCCTCCATTGTGTAAAAAAAAGTGTTAGTAACAGGCAAACAACATTTGTTTCATTGCATACTGATCTTAGAGCCATAGAGTGGTTAAGATTGGAAGGGACTTCTGGAGGTCATCTAGACACAAATCCCTGCTCAAAGCAGGGCTAATTTTGCTTGCCCAGCACTTCGATGAAGTTTTGAGTATCTGCAAGGAGGGAGTTTTCCCAGCTGCAGGAAGCAGCTTTTTTTTTAGTGCTCAACTATTCTTTCCCCCTTTTTCTGAAATAAAATTTATGTTGCTGCAGAATGTGACTATTGCCTCTTGCCCTTTCACCGTGCACCTCTTACAGGAAGATGGCTTCTCTGCAAGCCCTCTTCAGTTAGCAGAAGGCAGCTGTGGAATCCCTCCCTTAGCCTTACTTTTGCCCATGTTAAACTCATCCTGCTTCCTCAGCTACTCTTAATACAGTGTGCTCGAAGACCCAAGCTATTTTTGTGTCCCTGTGCTGGACTGGCTCCACTTTGTCAACCTCCCTTGTACTGAAGGCCCAGAAAGGGAGGTAGTACCTAGATGCAGCCTCACAAAGAGCAGAGCCTTAATCGCTTCCCTTGAGTTTCTGGCAACGCTGCTGCTGGAGTAGCCAAGTATGCAGTTAGACTTCACTGCCTCAACAAAAAAGGTTCCCGTGGCTTTTAAATGTATAAGCAAAAGGAGTTAATGAGACCAATATTGCTTGAAGTTTTGATACATGACTTTTTGGGGGGTTTTGTTTTGGGTTTTTTTTCCTTGGAAAGGTTAAGAGAGATTACATTGATGAAACTGCTTAAAATTCAGAGCCTCGAAAACCTGCAGTGTTTAATTCATGAAAAAGAAGACTGAGGGTATATAGCTTCAGTCACTTGTGGGACTTCAGTTTATATAGATGAGCAATTTATCCAGACATGCACAAGACAGTCTTTAAAGTATATAACTTTGTTAACGCCATGGCATCCCTGCTACCATTACAAATTTCTGTGTTAGCTGCCCAAGTACTTTCTCAGTATGTAGTGTGCAGGCCATGCTGCAACCAGGGTTGCACACTATTAGATTTATAATGGTGTCATTGACAAGGTTTTAGCTAGTTCTAGAGGTACAGAAATATGAAATATAAAAACAGCTGTACTCGCTAAAAAACTTACAGATTTTCTCCATGGGAAGTTAAAACCAAACATAATCAAGATTATAGTTTTAAGATAAGATGAATTGACAGGGTTTGTTGGTTTTTTTTTTTTTCCACAAGGTGAAGAGAAATCATTACAAGTGAGAGAAAACGTAATAATAGCGCTCCTTAAGTCTTCAAATCAGAGAGATGCCCCTCAGGGAAAAAGTAGCTGTTGCTGAACCAAGCTACTGAGCTTGTAAATAATTTGGTGAAGTTTTAGTGGTCATGCTGTGCAGTTTGTCAAGCCACATAGGTATTTAACTTAAAGCTCATAGGAATAAACTGGAAGATCTTTATTAGTTGATACCAAATCTGATTAATTGATTTAGAGAACATTAATCTTGTTGTAAATATGGAAAGTTAAACAAAAGAAACAGCAAGATTAAAACTGAATTTAAACGGAAAAAAATGCATGTACTGAATATTTTATGTTCACAGAATCTTCAGCTGCTTGGAGCAACAGCAATTGAAGATAAACTACAAGACAAAGTGCCTGAAACCATAGAGACACTCATGAAAGCAGACATAAAAATTTGGATACTTACTGGTGACAAACAAGAGACTGCCATTAACATCGGTATTATATTTGCATTTAGTTGATGACATTGTTACAGATTTAGAAATTATAGAAGTTGCTACAGTAAAACTACTTTCAGAACAGGAAGGTGTCTTGTAGAAGATAATAATAATAATATATGGCATTCCAGAATTTAAATGTTAACTTACTTCCTAAGTCACTGGTAGGGGGAGAGTGGGGAATGGTGGATTCTTCCTCTGTTAAAACAGTAACAGCAAGAAAAATTCATGTTATCGTAGAGAGGGGGAAAAAAATAGGCATTTGTGCTTTTTGTAGCATCTAAAATGAATTAAAAAGAATACATTGTTTGGGTTTTGACAGTGAGAGGGAATGATACTAAGAAAATGTGAGTATTCTTAGCTTTCCTTCTGTATTTTTCCTTCTTTCCAAGAAAGCTGGTAGGGACCATAATCTTAACTAAAGCAAAACAATATAGATTGTGCATTAAAGTATTATAAACTTTACCATCAATCTGAGGGTTCCTTTTATTCTTTCCTTTTATTATAAAGGAGGAAGAAAAAGAATCATGAATTAACTAATTTCAGCAGTAATAAATCTGTATTTTTAAATAGTAATACATGAAAGCTGCATTTAAGATTTATTATTATTTGCATGTTGAGCGGATCAGCACTTCTGCCAGTAGCCTAGATATGTGCCCAGAAGTAAGCATTATTTTGGTCATATGGATCCCTTTTATTACTGTTACTATTTTTAATCTTAAAGAACTTTTGTATGCACATTATACAGTTGATCTAAGGTGATTTTCATTAGTACCTACAGGTTTGAGGCAATACACGTAATACCAGTATTTTCACTTTGTTAAGAATGGTGATATATATTTGTCTAGGCAGCCTGCATCATTAGCACACAGCATACGTTCTGTTTAAAGCATCAAAAAAGAAAAGAATGGCAACGTATATATGCAAATTTTGTATGAAAAGCAAGTTGCAATCCAAAAATTTACAAGGCTAAGGGAGATCTGTTTGCTGTTTTCTGTAACTCCCTGTAAAGATGTTTCTTGTCCTTCTGCTGAGCACCTCTGTGAATAAGGCACAACAGTTGCAAGTTGCAGCAAGGAAAATTCTGACTGTTCTGACTTAGTACCTGTATGTCTTAATTATTATAGAATGCAGTATAATTTTTTTACCATTGATTTCAGCTGGGGGAGTTTTATTTTTAATTTTGTCTGTAGTTCTCTTACAGAAAAAATTGCTTTGTTATATTATAATGGATTTTGTGGAACAAATTTTTGAAAACAAAAATGTTTTTAACAGGTCACTCCTGTAAACTTTTGAGAAAGAACATGGGACTAATTGTTATAAATGAAGGCTCTCTTGATGTAAGTAAAATCTGCAAAGTTTTCAGTTAATGAAACGTTATTTTACTGCTTAAAATATCCAGACGTCATGGTGGAGGTGGCCTAAAAAATAACTTGGAACATCTATTTATCTGGACAAACACAGAAAATTCTGCTAAAACCATGGTTTGGTGGGGGGGTTGGTTTGTTTGTTTGTTTTGGGGGGTTGCTTTTTTGTTTGTTTCTCTAATCTTCTCAGTTAATTTTAGTATGGCATACCTGGAAGACCATACGGTCTTTGTGACAAAATGTTACTGAATAACTAGAAACTTAGTCTACAGCTTCCAAAACAACAGTGTAGCTACTACACAAATGAACTTCAGAATGATGAGCAAACAAATTCTATGTAGTAAAATGACTCCATCCATGCAGGCACAAGGCCAGGAGCTTCACATGCTCCTAGTGGCACTTAGCGGTGCCCAAACAAACTAATCCTAAGTTCCTTTCTAATGCTGTTTCTTACAGAGTACTTAGTATCTGCCAAAAATTAATTGTTACTGTGTGGTTAAACAACTGAAATTGTAATCAGACGTTGAAGTACGAGTAAGGGTTAAAACTACCAACGTGCAAGTATACAGTGCTTTGTAGAGAAGAGATTCTTTAGATAAGGTAGGAATGCAATATTAAGTGAAAAATCCCATGAGGGGAAGGAACTTAAATCCTTTTACCACCCTCTAAGACAGCCTTAAATGAACTTAGAAATGGAAGAATTTCCTCAGTGAGAAAACTCAGTGTCCAGGAGGCTTCAGGAGGAAACCCTGAAATGAAGTTTACCTTACTCTGTGTTGTGGTCAGATTGCTCAAGATAGGACTTAGGGAGAGAAAGGGAGAGAAAGTGAAAAGAAAGTATAAGAATCAGCAAGAGTGCCTTAACTGAAGGATTCCATGGTAGCATGTAGGAGTAGGGTGCAACATGAATTAAAATACTTACTACTTATTTTTTAAATCAGTACTTATTTAAATGTTTTGACTCATTTAGAACAACAGATTTTCATCATTGGTATGAATTTAATCATGATGACTATATTTCAAATATAAATTGTTTCAAGCAACATATTTTTGTTGATAAAATTTAAAATAAAATCCCAAAAACAGGACAGGCAGAAGCTGTTGTTTAATGTCCGGAACCAGAGTCTGTTGATACAGTAAGCAACTTTTGACACAAGTAGGCTGTGATATTAATGAAGAGAGGCAATTTTCTTTTCTTAGTTTAGTTCATTGGATAGCTTTTGAAAGATTGCGATTGTTGTTTGTTGAAAAAGCAGGGAAGGTTTTTGGTTCAAGCCCTTAACTTTGCTTTTGAGTTTTTTCACTCTTCAACCTGAGTAAAAATTAACCAATGCAAGCGAGAACTTCTGTCTTATGTTTAGGTTATTTACACAGACAGCTGGATTTCAGAACTACTGCAACACTTAATAGATTTGAAGTGCAAAAGATAGACTACTTTGTATACTTCTTCACATGTAATGAAATAAAGTGAGGTAGTTTTATTTAACTACTAAAAGGAGTCCAATAAAAACTCATTAAACAAGCATTGCACATTAATCACTTCTGGTGCGATGATTAAAAAGTTGAATAAATATATATTAAGCAATATATTTTAAAAATAAATCTGTATAAATACAGTTTAAGAATAAAAGATAGTATCTGATATAACTGCACTGTACTTCCTGTTTCAAACTGAAGTGTCTAGATTGTGTGTAGAGATTGAGATATCCTTTCACTCAAAACAAAAAGTACTTTCAGCG